ATCACGACAGTAATAGCGAAGAAATACGAAATCTAACTGTACATTGAAACAAATTGTGTCCATATGCGATGATACGTCGATTTGAAAGGAAGCTAAAGCCATATATGTAATATCTGCCAAAGCTGTGCCCGCAGTTGTTATTCTTGTTGCTTCTTTGCACAGATACATGCATAGAGTCACATAGACACATTTCCTATGTTAATGTGCCGTTATACAAGTGCACCCTTTTTGTGAGTTCAAATACCCAAGGAGCAATAATCGATCAAAAAAGTGTTTGTAAAATTACAATTTCTTTACTTGTTCCCCATTTCTTAAAGTTTTTAAATTTTCTATAATTATTCTACACAACTGTACAGTGCATTTCAAAGTCGAGACACTCAACTTTAGCTTCTCTACTTGTTCTTATTGTTTCTGTTTGCCTTAACGCCATTGATTTCGGGGCATTACCCATCATGACGACACGCTTCGGACCGTTCTGATCTACAGCACTGATCTGAACTGTTGATAGCCCAGCTCATTATTAAAATGACCTGATTTATACTATATGTATGTTCAATATACTCGTATATACATATATAGTATAAGTATTTTTTTATATAACTGCTATGTGCGCCTTAAATCAACGCAATTCCGCATCCATTCATTCATTCATAAATGAATTAATGTCGTCACATACTCGTATTCATTAACCAAAACACACGAGAGTTATACTTGTATGTATGTACCTGTATATTCTGGCATATTGTCAACGTTCATCTACCTTTGCCGAACGTGTATTTTAACAATTGATATCATTAGGTCATTTCACATGCAACTGCTGCGAACTTGAACTAAAGATCAAGAGCACGAGCACTAACACAAACAAACAAATAACAAGATGGAAAATTAAATTAGATGCCAGCAAATGGGTAATTATGTAAACACTTGCAAATGCAATTTGCAGCATCAAATGCCATGGCAGGCGAACACTAACACGAGCACAAGAACAACAACAACGAAATCCAACCTATGTACTTACTTACTTACCTATAGACATGTGCTGATAAATGGGCATGTTTACCAATCTCGGTCATAGTCACTAATTAAAAGGTTTAAGGCTTAAATTTGCATATAAGCCAACGGGCAATTCCGAGCGACGACAAGAACAGTAACAAGAACAATATACACGTATGTATACAGCAGGCCAGCGGGTAAGCAAGCAGGGTCAGCGCAAGGCATAAACTAAATTCGCCACATGAGCCACCCACACACACACCTACATCTATTTATATACTATGTTTGACGCGCGTGTGTTGTTCATGAAGCTGAAATGGCCGCAAGACCTTACATACTCGTGCGTACAAAGTTTGAAGAGCACTCTGGGCCGCAAACCCTCATTCTTGGCAACAACTTAGATCTTTACAGCGCATTTTAGAAACAATAAGAATAATAATGGAGCTTAAGTTTAATGTTAACTATAAATACTAGTTCAAAGTAATTATAAATTTGTCCAGTACAAAATAGCTGTTATTCTTAGTTGATATTCTTAAATCTATAACAAACACTTAATGTTTCGAACTCATAGATAAACCACAAAAAAGAGCTGTTACTATAACACATTCAAAGATATATAGTATGATCAACAAAGATGTCAAAATATAATATGTTATCATAATACGTTGTTGAAGTCGCCTTTTCAAAAGATTCAGATTGAAGCACTTTCAAATCTCCCATTTCACATACGTATGTATCCATCATTTCTGTTCCAATGTTCAAGCGCGCCTATTGGGCAGTTATGCTTGCCAATTGCTGGCTCATGCTTATACTTGTAGTCATGGACGTGGGCATATTAGATGCCATCGCATGTCAGCAATTACCCTCATAATCTTGTAATACTAACCTTACCTAATGCCTCCCCCATACCTAACAACACACACGCTTCCCCAACTACGAGTATTGTTGTTATTGCCCTGGTTCTGGGTAGTCGTAGCGTTCACGCAGCCATAAAATGATGACCAACACAGTGGACAATGACAAGGTGTGCGTCAATATGAGTTGACACTTCCAGAGAATCCATAGCCACTATGTGACGAGCCTAAAAATAAAAGCCGAACAATAATATTGTTCATATCAAGTACATTGCGTGTTATGCAGACCATTTCGGTTTTGCTCGGTAAACAACAATTTCTTCCACAAAGCGCATGAAATCAATACTTTTACGAGTACATGGCTATTTTGGGCGGTAATTGTTTGTTATAAGTTTGCACTTGGCTTTTCAAAAATCGTTAACTTATTCATTTACATAATAATATAGATTGAATAATTGCCTGCGTTTGGCAAACCCGATTTCAAACACGCTGCTTTCTTCCAAAATTATATGAGTGTATTTTATATTTAACTGAAAAATCCTCCAAAACCCTTAATGGTTCTAAGAGTTGTTCTTGTATAGATCATTGCTAGGTCTATGATATAGAACGCCGATGACCTGAGGTGACACTCCACACAAAACTTCTACTAGATTTGCTTTAGTCACCTTATTAAACAAATTCTTAACCTACTAAGATGATTGTCAAATATTTTCCCCTATATCAATCCATTACGAGCTAAAAAAGTATAGTATAATCATTAGGCTAGATATGTTTTGCAATCAAATTTTCAAATAGCATACAAGTGGCTTACATAGGCTTACATAGTGTCGAATGAACAAATAATGAACCTCTCCGACACCATTTTGAGTAACTAAATAAAAAAAATTTCAACAAATTTCAAATCAAATTTTTAAGAAGAAAAGCTCTTCCATAAATCATTGCTTTAAAATATCACCTTTAGAATAATCTTTGAAAATCTGTCAGAATTCCGTTTGACTTTATAGCCAGACTATACGTACTATATCGTTTAATGGGCAGCGCATCAAAACATCGATACAAACATATGTACATATGTATATCTAATGCCGGCATGCTGAGTTCATGTTTTTATTACAATTGTTTTGTGGAATTAAATTAAATTGACTTAATTTAAACTCAATTTGGTGTTGAACTCAAACGGAGGTCGTTGGGTGCGTTTGTTTGTGGGCGCCCAGGTTGGTTGTCACTGCTTCGCTGTGATAATGACACTAATTTCTGAACGTTCTTGTTATTGTGCTACTGCCTGCTGCTTATTGGAATCATGTGCTGTGGAGCACACAAACACATTGAGTTTAGTGTGCATTAAGGCAAACGGAAGTGCTTGGTTCCTAAACCAAATGAGGTTATTAGGTCACAACTTCAAAACGCTCTTCATATAAGCTCCCTACGAGTAACAACCTAGTTCAATGCTTAACGAATTGTATCATTTAAAAATAGATAAGACCAGGGTCAATCAACTGCAACGCTCACAATATATCAATATTGACTTCACAGTTCGTTTGATAGTTTGATAAATAAAAGAGTATATAAAAACCGAAAGATCAAAACATAATATGTGATAACAGTTCGACGCGAGGGCCGTTTGTTAACTACAGGCTATATTTTTCTCTCGCAAACTAATTCATTGGGGTTTCCAAGATTATAATGTGACTCATACTACATATAAGACCTTTTGGGCAATACGTTTGTGAAAATTTGGAGTAGATCTGCTACTTGGTGACTACCCGATGCTGTCGAATATCAAATATATAAATATAATAAATATATATTACAAATAACAAATCGGCTAAACAAATAAAAGTGGTCTAGAGAAGTCAGTTATTTTACAGACCCCAAATAACAATAAAATGACAAATTTGTTGTAAACAAACAAGTTTTGGACTTTTTATTTGGATTTGGTTTACTCTTAAAACAGATCTTTACGCTCTTTGTGCCAAAAAGGCATATCATTATTGATTTTAAAGGAGAAAAGCATACAAAAGCGAATTCTAATTTAGTTACAAGGGCATCCTGGTATATATTTCTATATTATGTTGCGTTTAACAATAATGTTAAACTCATTTACAAATATAATGCGCGATAAGCACAGGAAATACTTGTTGTATTTTTTTTAAAGTCCATTGTAATTTAATGCAATGTAGCTAAAATCTGTTGTCCATTCATGATATCTATAGAAGTGGAAAGATACATGAAGCCCTATCCAAGGTTATTTTTGATATACTATTTTGTCTTGCCAAAGTTTATAGCAAGACGGCAACAGCATTTGAATTTTAAAGGTTGCCAAAATAGATTTAAATCAATTCATAAATGGTTCCAAATGGGCCGCTAAATAAGACGAACGTTGGAAACAACTTTGCTGTCTTCTATAGTAAGTAGTTTTAAAGTAGTCCAGAGACGACATATCACCCATAAATATGAAGATAAGAATATTTAATACTATCCCACCCTAGTCTAGTTGTTTTATGGAACAGTATTACAGCATATAGGTCGACTCCATATCTAATATTTACTCAATAATTTGTTTAAGTAATAAATTAATTGTGTATCTTAAACTATTTTAAAGGCAAAGACATTTAGGCTTGTTATTAACAAACTCAACGGCACTTAAAATCGAATTTGCCAGAAGAGCCCTTCAAGACTAACATAAAATGTTCATTACCCATTGAGTGTAGATGTCTGATAATCAGTGTATATCAAACAGCCCATGCATATGCATTATCGTGTCTGCCCTGCCAAGCCCACTCATATGCTTGTCGGCGACATTAAATGACCGCCGCTGCTCCGCCGTTTTATTTCATTCAGTATAGCGCCGCCACATCGAGCTAATAAAGCTCGGGCTGGAATCCAAACCAAACTGAAAACGAAAATAAACTCTGAGCATGGGACAGAGGCAACGGGTAGGGCTTTTCATAGTGCGTTTGTGTCTGTCTGTGGCTCGCTTGCCTCATCGCTCAATTGTTTGTCGCACGCCGTGATTGCCGTGAATTGCTCCGAGCTGCTCCCTCGCAGCCCCCTGCTTAACTTGAGGCACGGTTTGGCCAGCGCTGCTATTGGCATCCACTGGCCACATGTGAGTTAGTTGGATCTTTCAGTACGAAATGCGCTCGCGTATGATGCGCCCGTACGATCGGCGCTCCAGGCTTGATGCTCACATAACTCGACAGCTTCCAGTGCTCGAGTCGACTACTGCGTCGTGTGAAAATTGCGTTTAATTAAAGTATAAAGGCCACTCACTAGCTAATAAACCTCACCACGTCGGTAAACATATTAGTCTGCATATTATCCGTGCCGCGCCCGTGACAAAATGAGCTCAGAAAGGACGGAGATTGCATATCCGTTGCCAGAGGTGCACAGATCGAAACCACAGACTTGTAGGTCCAGTGTTAAGCTGGGCCTGGGCGTCAACGAACAAACGGGTCGCCTACAATGGTGTCCCGGTCTGACTTGTTGCAAAATTTTACTATTACTTCCAGTGATTCTGCTGCCATTGCTGCTGGTGTTGGTGCTGTTGATACGAATGGACAGCATGCTTACTGCACTGCAGTTGAATAAAAATGGTCGTCAGTCGGCCAACCTAGTCGTGCCCAGCTATTTGGATGACTACGAGTCACTGCTGCCCGAGGGCGAGACTTATAATGAACTGATCAATGATGAATTCCTGGTGCCACAGGCGAAGCGATCGCAGCTGGAGACGCATGCAGCGGAACGAGCCAAGCGTTGTCTGTCCTTTCGTTATGCCAATGGTGAGACGCTGGAGCTGGAGGAACGTGAGCTTATGAAGGATGCGCGCACGTCCTTCCTGCCACACAGTGTGAACGCTCTTCCACAAGAATGCTTGGATACTGTCGCCAATTCGGCACACAAAGCCAATGATCTAGAAACTGGTGCTGTTTCGGAGGGAGATATTGACGACGACGGCGACGTAAAACGCGAATTTTACACGAATCACAAAAAAGCCATACCACGTCGTTACCTAGAGACCCCACATTATTGGGCTTGGAGACTGAAGGATTGGGAAGAGGCTCGTGAACGGGAAAGACGTAATGTGGGTGTGCGGATAATACGCGAAGCTTCCGAGGCAGATGATCAAGGTGAAGACAGTATGGAGGACTTGGAGTCACAAATATTGGAAACTACTGCCGCACTGCAGTCTTTTTGGAATGAGCAGGGCACTCGAGAAGGCATACGACAAGCACAAGCCAAGACCATGCAACGTTACATGGACCTTAAGGTTGATCCTTGCGTTGACTTCTACAAATACGCCTGTGGAAATTGGGAGAAATTGCATCCCATACCGAAGGACAAGGCAGGTTTTGACACCTTCGAAATGTTACGCGAAAGTCTTGACCTTGTACTGCGCAATCTACTCGAAAAGACTACAGCTCCCTCCGAGGCGCGCAAGAACCAGTTGGAACAGACAGAAATACGCAACAATCTTTTTAAGTTGAGTGAGCATGAGGGGCCTACAGAGGAGAAGACCGCGGCGGCGGAGAAAGCGGAACAGGAGACAGAGGCCGAGCAACTGCGTAAACACATCGTGCGTCGACGTAACATTCTCAATCGAGTACTGGTGCGGTACAAGCGACGCACGAATGGCACAAAACGGAAGCGACTTATTGAAACGCCACGTGACAAACCCAAGGATGAAGATTTGCTGAAGGAGAAGGACAAGGAAAAGCAAAACAAGGAGGAGCATGTACACCATTCCTCGGAAACAGCGAGCACCAACGAATATGCCAAGCCCAAATACGATGCGCAAGTAAAAGCAAAAAACCTCTACAAATCCTGTGTGAACAACGAGCTGCTAAGTCGTCGCGGTCTGGAGCCCCTTCACAAGCTCATCCGGGATCTAGGAGGTTGGCCCGTTCTGGATAGTAAATGGACCGACGCCAACTTCAATTGGCTGCAATTGGCGGCCACATTACGACGCTATAACAATGATATACTGATAGTTCAATGGGTTGGAGCCGACATTAAGAACTCTGAGGAGAACATCATACAATTTGATCAAACGGGCTTGGGGCTGCCCACACGCGAGTACTTCCTACAGCACAGCAATGCCAAATATCTGCTAGCCTACCAGCGTTATATGTCCGAGGTCATGCACAAGTTGGGCGCAGCGAAGTCCGACGCCTTGCGTACAGCCACCGAAATGATTGCCTTTGAAACACAGCTGGCCCGGATCACAGCGCCTGCAGAGCAGCGTCTCAATGTCACCAAACTATACAAGCGCATGTCCTTGCAACAACTACATAGCACCGTACCCCAAATCAATTGGGCTGGATACCTGAGCACGCTGCAGAATCGTGAAGTGCGCGATGGGGAGGAGGTGGTCATCTATGCTATCGAATATATGAAACAACTGGTGGCACTGATCGCCGAAACCGAGCCGCGGACCGTAGCCAACTATATGATGTGGCGCTTTGTGCGCCATCGCATCAACAATGTGGACGATCGCTTCGATGACATCAAGCAGAGCTTCTATCATGCGCTTTTTGGGCGCGAAGAGAGCCCACAACGCTGGAAGGTGTGCATATCACAGGTCAGTTAAATATAAATATCCTTACTACTACTAATTAAGTGCATATATTAGTTCAGAATTATAATCCAAAACTTTTCTAGAATTATTAAAAATTTAAACCCATATTAGCATTCATCACCACCAAGAATTCATTAAAGGAATGTGCTTAAGACTTACTCGTACTTTTAATAATTTAAATTCTTCAGTCCAGTGTAGGGAAACTCTTGACCCTAAGTAGCAACTTTCAGTATAGCCGTAAAAAATTGAACTAATTTAGTACCAACCGTGTTCACCTTCTGTAACAATAATCAACAACAAATTTTATAAGTACAAGTATAACTGAATAATAATGTAATGTGAATCGATAATATTTTATTTCATCTGCTGCTCGTTTCTTTAACCAGGTAAACACCAACATGGGAATGGCCGTGGGGTCCATGTTCGTCAGCCGATACTTTGATGATAATAGCAAACGGGATACGCTTCGGATGACCCACGAGCTCCAACAGGCATTCCGCGACATACTCAAGACCACTGATTGGCTCGATCATGCCACCAAACAGCTAGCCGAGGAGAAGGTAAATGCTATGTCATTAAAAATTGGCTATCCCGACTTTATACTCAATGCTGGCGAGCTCAACGAAAAGTATGCTGGCATTGAGATTCATCCAGATAAATATTTCGAGAACACTCTGAACGTGCTGCTGCACACAGCGAGGACGGAGCAGTCAAAGCTTCATGAACGTGTCAATAAGACCAACTGGCAAACGGCGCCGGCTATCGTGAACGCCTACTACAGTCGCAACAAGAATCAAATAATGTTTCCAGCGGGCATATTGCAGCCACCATTCTACCATCGTCACTTTCCCAAGTCACTGAATTTCGGTGGAATCGGTGTAGTCATTGGCCATGAGCTGACGCACGGATTCGATGACAAGGGCAGGCTATTCGACAGCAATGGCAATATACACAAATGGTGGACCGATGCCTCCATTCGCGGATTCGATGAGCGTGCCCGCTGCATTATTGCACAATATAGTAACTATACGGTTGAAGAGGTGGGCATAGCCCTCAATGGCGAAAGCACACAAGGTTAGTATAGGTACCAACAGCACTGAACTCTGTTCGAAAATTTCAGAATATTACAGTAAATAAGCTAATATGTGTTGCTTTTAGGTGAAAATATTGCAGATAACGGTGGCCTGAGACAGGCATTCCATGCCTACAAACGCTGGCTGAACGAACATCCACAGGAGGCTGGGGAGGAGCGTCTTCCGGGCCTTAATATGACTGGGCCGCAATTGTTCTTCCTAAACTTTGGCCAAGTGTGGTGCGGCGCTATGCGTCCTGAGGCTATACGAAATAAACTAAATACGGCCATACATAGTCCGGGCCGATATCGGGTCATTGGCACATTATCCAACTCATATGATTTTGCGCGGGAGTTTCATTGTGCCGCCGGCACGCCTATGAATCCGTTCCACAAGTGTAGCGTGTGGTAGCCTTTAGCGCATTTACCTATTAACCTAAGAGTATTAACAGTGGCTTGCGCGTTAGAACAAGCGGTAAGTATTTCTCTTTCGTCTGACGTCTTCATCTAATTGCTCAACTTTTATTTTCATCTCAAGTACGTGGTTGTGTGTGGCTGGTAGCTTTCTCGTTATACATATGCCTCCTCCAGGCCGAGCCAGACCAGGCCAGGCCAGGCGCCCCACAATTCACTTGGCACACCCTTGTTTTGAAACAACAACATCGCAGCTGTACGCGAAGTGAGTTCCACTTAATTAATGGTGATTTATGCTCCACAGTTGGTTAAAGTCAAGTGAACGAACGCTGCACTATTTGTACTTCAATTCTGAGTTAAATGAGGCAGTTAAATGGATATGCTACTTTTTCTATCAGTGCTTTGGTTACTCTATTATTGATTTACATAAAATTGTTCGCGGATGTTTATGGCTTCAAATACTCACATCAGCCTCTGTATTTCTTATAAGTACAACACCTGCAACAGCAGACCGTTTGGCGCTTTTGCAAGTATAGCTCAATTATGTAATAAAGCCCGTATTTTCTAGTTTTATGTTAGTTATAGGGCTTCTAATAGGCTAGGGTATACATCATTTCAGTACTTTTTCTTTTTATTATAATTTTTACACGACCTCTTTCCATCAAACAAAAACTACATTTCTCCACATCCTGTAATAATTTTCTTCTCTTGTGTTATAGCTTCAACTGCTTAGCTTTTATTGCATACCCCAACGGACTTGCCAATCAAACTGTATTACAAGCATAGAAGATGAACTCAGAGCACATAATATTTATGTAGAGAAAATTGTGCCAAAATGTTGCAATTTACTTGTTTGTTGCAACTCTTTATACTATATATTTTATAAATAGAACATGTCATATTTTTCTAGTTATTTCATATAATTTAGCTTAAGCGATTTAAAAATTTGTGATAATTCCAACAAAATGTAAATAAAACCATTTAATAAAATCAAAATAAGCAAAAGCCCTTTCAAATCCCTGCATTGCTGTTCAACACTGGTCTTTCCAAAATATATTCAGCAGCTTTCAAGTTGGAAATAATTTTGAAAAACTTTAAGCACATTTCGGAATAACGCATAACGAGCCAAGTCAGTCGATCGTGTGCGCTCAAAGAGAACGTGTCCTAAGATTCTTGCCGCGTGTTTTGGAAGTACAATTATATTTATATATGTATATGCTATATTCTATTAAAAATAGAAGCTGAAAAACCGCACTGTAATAATCACAACTTACTGTAAAATTAAACGATTAAACACGATTACTGGAGATGCAACTTCAATTAATCTGCGCAATATTGTTGCTAGTCAGCAAAGTTTATGGATATAACAGCGGTCCATACGGTGCCTTGAGGGGCCAAAACATACCCATTGGTAAACATCTGTAAATGTATTACTGCATATTTGCTTTCACTCAAGAAGTGGTTCCAATAGGCCTTATCACTGACGATGAGACGGACAGAGTACGCCACACTTTCGAATATGCCATATCAGTCGTAAACAACGAGCTGAGTATGCCGATTGTGGGTGAATGGGAGCGGGTGGCCCATGGAAATTCCATCGAAGCATTTGGAAAACTTTGCCGCATGATGCAGAAGGGAGTAGGGGCCATATTTGGACCAGCAGCGAAATATACGGCCGCCCATCTCCTCAATGCCTGCGACTCCAAGGACATACCCTTCATATATCCGCATCTATCGTGGAGTACACGACCCGAAGGCTTCAACTTGCATCCCCATCCCGAGGATATTGCACATGCGCTCTTCGACATCATCAATCAGTTCAGTTGGTCTCGCTTTATTTTTTGCTACGAGTCCTGTAAGTTTTCTACAACTATTACGAGGTCCTTCTAACCCTACTTGATTTGACAGCCGACTACCTGACCATTCTGGATAATCTAATGTCACGGTATGGCATCAAAAGTCCTGTCATCAAAGTCATGCGATACGACCTTCATCTGAATGGAAACTACAAGGCTGTTCTAAGACGTATTCGCAAATCGGAGGACAACCGTATTGTGGTTGTGGGCTCCACCGCCAGTGTAGCCGAGCTGATGCGACAAGCGCAGCAGGTGGGTATCATAAATGAGGACTACAACTATATTATCGGCAATTTAGATATGCACACATTCGATCTGGAGGAGTACAAATACAGTGAGGTTAACATAACCGGCATACGGATGTTCTCGCCGGATCAGCCTTTAGTGCGGGATTTAATGGAGCTGCTGCGCCAAGAGCTGGGTGATGAAGAGCCAACAAATCCTGGTAGGATGGACTAGATTATAAATATATAAGTCTCATTACAATTGTAGCACACCTTCAGGCTCTACAACTATTACAATGGCCATGGCGCTGACCTTTGATGCCGTGCGGGCTTTTGCCGAGACCACAAAACATCTGTCCTATCATCCGGAAGTGCTAAATTGCTCCGAACGGCACGATAATGTTCAACCCGATGGCACAACTTTCAATAACTACATGCGGTCTGTAAGTGGAAACGTATTCTGCCCGTACCTTCAGCTCTATTATATATCATATATGTATTTTGCAGCTTATTGTCAAGGAAAACACTATGACGGGCCCAATTGCCTTTGAGGGCCATATACGCAAAGGCTTTACATTTGATGTCATTGAGTTGCAACCCACGGGTATTGTGAAAATAGGCACGTGGGAAGACGGCCAGGATTTTGAGTTTCAGCGACCGCCACAAGCTACAAAACTGATAGATGTGGATGAAAACTCCTTAGTCAATAAGACCTTCAAGGTGCTCATTTCTGTGCCGGTAAGAGAGGATAACAACGAAACCCTGGTCGTAATAAATGATCATCTAACTCGCTACGCAGAACAAACCCTATGCAAGTTTGGTGGAGAGCATTGAAACGCTTCATGGCAACAACCAATATGAGGGTTATGGCATCGATCTCATCAAAGAGCTAGCTGAGAAACTGGGTTTTAATTTTACATTTCACAATGGCGGAAATGATTATGGTTCCTTCAATAAAACCACAAATATGACAACCGGCATGTTAAAGGAAATTGTCGAAGGCGTAAGTTTCGAAAGAAAATATACAAATAAATCATTTCTTAAAAAAAAAACAATTTCAACAGCGCGCTGATCTTGCCATCACGGACTTGACCATTACCTCCGAACGCGAGGAAGCCATTGATTTCTCTATACCTTTTATGAATCTTGGTAAATATTATAATTGGCAAACTGTTGCCAAACTGGACTGCATTTAAATGTTTTTCAGGTATAGCCATTCTTTATATCAAGCCTCAAAAAGCTCCACCTGCACTCTTCTCCTTCATGGACCCTTTTTCCAAGGATGTGTGGCTATATTTGGGCATAGCCTATATAGGTGTTTCTTTGTGCTTCTTTATCTTGGGACGTCTGTCGCCTACCGAATGGGATAATCCTCTACCTTGCATTGAGGAGCCAGAGGAACTGGAAAATCAGTTCACGTTAAACAATTCGCTGTGGTTCACAACTGGTGCCTTGTTGCAGCAAGGCTCTGAAATAGCGCCCAAGTAGGTCGCCTTAATTGCAGTTATAAAACTTTAATCTCACTATATTCTTTCAGAGCTCTATCCACACGAGTGGTGGCAACAATATTTTGGTTCTTTACGCTCATTATTGTCTCCTCATATACAGCCAATTTGGCCGCCTTTTTGACTATTGAGAACCCCACAGGCCTTATAGACGATGTCGATGATTTGGCCGACAACAAAGGCGGTGTACAATATGGTGCTAAGCGTACGGGTTCAACGAGAAACTTTTTTTTGGTAAGCAGTCAATACATTTCCGTTACGCAACAGCCCAACAAACATCCAAATTATTAGACTTCAGAGGATGAAACATATATGAAAATGAACGAGTATATGACCAATCATCCGGAAATGTTAACCGAAACTAATCAAGAGGGAGTGGATAAAGTAAAATCGGGTACACAGTATGCCTTCTTAATGGAATCAACCTCCATCGAGTTCAATACAGTAAGGGAATGCAACCTGAAGAAAATCGGAGACGCGTTGGATGAGAAGGGTTACGGAATAGCCATGGTTAAGAGTAAGTCTTTAGAAATTCGTGTATGGAATCAACATTAAACTTCAAAATAAATTAGATTGGCCATATCGCGATAAATTCAACAATGCTCTTCTGGAGCTGCAGGAGCAGGGTGTCCTTGCTAGGCTTAAGAACAAATGGTGGAATGAAGTCGGTGCTGGAGTTTGTGGAGTAAGTCCATTCGCTAACCAGCCAGAATGGCGGTATATTTTAATTTCGCTTTTTCAGGCCAAAAGCGAAGACGATGGTCCCGACAAATTAGGTGTCGATAACCTTGGTGGCGTTTATTTTGTGCTGGGCGTAGGAACATGCCTATCCGTGGTCTTTACGATCATGTACTGGTGTATCTTTGTTATAAAGAAAGCGCATTTCTATCAGGTGAGAAGCTCCGGGACATAATATACATAGTATGTACGTCCCCTAATAATTTCCCTTGTCGTGCAGGTACCCTTTACAGCCGCTCTGGGTGAGGAATTTAAGATAGTAATTAACTTTTCGAAAAATGAGCTAGCCCTCAAAAGCGCTCAGTCAGTGTACTCAAGAAGTCGCAACTCTTCGCAGTCCATCGATTCACTCGAAACCGATTCAGATGAGGACCAACAAGACGATGAGCAATAATCTTTATGTTTGACAAGATCACCCAATGTGCTCTCACAAAGCTTTTCTAAACTTTCACTCAATTTAATTTTTAGAAGCCATTGAGTCATTGAGGTGGATGTCAGGAATATTTTGGAACAGTCGGTGCTTTTTTCTCAACGCGTGTGGTATATCGGAAGACATCGGTAGTTCCGACGTCGATTTTATTTTCTATGAAATGTATATGTAGAACTCATCATATTAAAATTTTTATGCAACAATAAAATGCAAGGCGTATATCATTCAATTGGTTTTTCAATACTTCTAATATACATTGTCCCAATTATTGAAGCACAATATGATACTTACTCGTTTGGCCGTGAGGAAAGACTTCAAAATCAGGCAGAGTATGATGGTTACAACCCTGAGGAAATGCTAAAAAATATGGGCCCTGTACCAATCGGTAAGTTTTTTCGAAATGAATTCATTGAGTTCAGAAAAACTGAAAAGTGTGTCGCGTGTCTCGAGCTTTCCATCGCCATATATCTACTTATTACTCAAACACAATGTTTTCACGACCGATTTATTTTTAATATTTCGTATAGAGAACATGCTGTTCGTTCCATCAACGCCAAAAGCTCATAAAACGGTGTCTGTAGTGTTTGTTTATTTTGTGTTTTCGGCTAATGGTGCTATCATATAAACCGAAAGATAGAGAGGCAGACTATGTTTTCGCTAAGGTCAACTTTTGTTTACAAACAAACCGGAAAATTAAACAGAATTAAGGCAGAACAGAACATACTGTCGAAGCAGAAACACAACGTGTACTGAAACATTGAACGAGTTAATGTTATGATATTGATGTATTAATAAATATAATACTTATTTATTTATATTTATTTTATTACTATCGTTTTTATTTTTTCCTCATACTAGAATACTAGAATAGCCCAGTATCCAGTAAATTGTCTGTTATGGGATACCTGTTGCTTTCTAAACCAGACATCACATCCAGTTCTTTTATATTTATATACCATGTATTGTTCTACACCAGGTCTACTCACCGATCAGGATACAGAGAAAATGAATATTGTCTTCGATCATGCTATTGAGGTGGCTAATATTGAGCTTGGTACAACCTTGACATCCCTGAAGGCAGAAGTAAATTACGGCGATGCCTATCAAAGCTACAATAGACTCTGTATGATGCTGGAGGTATGTACATATGAGTATGCCTCCAACATTTTTTCAATTTTCGATCACTAACAACACCTACACGTTATTGACCAAAAGACTGGTGTAGCTGGAATTTTTGGGCCCTCATCGCAACACACAGCCGTCCATTTAATGTCCATATGCGATGCCATGGATATACCACACATATTTTCTAGTACGAGCGAATATTCGGAAGGCTTCAATTTGCATCCACATCCAGCGGACATATCGAAGGCATTATATAGCCTCATAATGTCATTTGAATGGTCGCGGTTCATATTTCTCTACGAATCGGGTGAGAAGACATAAGTATGAAATGGTAATGCTTAATTCTTAATTCGCGACCTCTATATCAACATACCTATAGCGGAATATTTGACCATACTTAATGAGCTCACAACACTATTTGGAATAAATGGACCGATTGTTACCGTCCTGCGCTACGATATGCAATTGAATGGAAACTATAAGCCGGTTTTACGACGCGTTCGCAAGTCCGTGGACAATCGCATAGTGGTCGTGGGATCTACAGAGACCATGCCCGAGTTCCTTAATCAGGTGCAGATATTTATATCGAAAAGACAGCATTCAGCAATTGAAGCTCCCATTGTTTGCAGGCACAACAAGTGGGAATTATCAATGAAGATTACAAATTTATAATTGGAAATTTGGATTTCCATTCCTTTGACTTGGAGGAGTACAAGTACAGTGAAGCCAACATTACAGGCTTGCGAATGTTCTCGCCCGAGAAAATGGCTATAAAGGAGTTGCTTCAAAAAATCGGTTACAACATGGAGCAGGACGAGTTGAGAAATGGTGAGGACATACCTATATTTTCTACGTGCTGACCGTCATACTAACCCGAACAGGCTCCTGTCCGATTACTGTGGAAATGGCACTCACCTACGATGCCGTCCAATTGTTTGCTGAAACTCTGAAGGAACTACCTTTTAGTGTAGCTCCTCAAAATTGTTCGCAGCGCACGGAAAATGTACGAGATGATGGTTCTTCATTCAAAAATTATATGCGCACGGTAATGACAGCACTGATGATTTCATTAATTTTTGTTAGGTTATTTTATTTTATTTATCGTTTTCAGCTGCGTCTTAAAGATCGTTTGCTCACTGGACCCATATACTTTGAGGGCAACGTTCGCAAGGGCTACCATTTTGATGTAATAGAGCTGCAGCCCTCGGGCATTGTAAAAGTCGGCACCTGGGATGAGGAACGAGACTACATACCGCAACGTTTACCGCCCACAACTACGCTGTTCGATAACATAGATAATTCGTTGTCCAACAAGACTTTTATAGTTCTGCTCTCAGTACCGGTAAGTCTAAACAAACAGCCAAGGGGTCCAATGGCTTTTTATACTCTGTACATGAAATTTACAAGAGTATACATATTAGGTTTAGGGGAGGTAAAAATGCTGTTGTTGTTGTTGCTGCTGCTTTGCACAGGCACACGAGACATACACAGACACACTCAAACACTACACAAACACGCATAGACAAGCATAATTATTCTAGACATACATATGTACAGAGTATTTCATAATCGGGATACCCGACTTTAGCTTCTCCACTTGATTATTATTTATTTAAGCAAGAGTATAAATTAATCTCGTTATAAAAACACAACCTTTCGCAGAACAAACCTTATGCCAGTTTGGTTGAGAGCTTCAAAAAACTGGAGGGAAACAGTCAGTACGAAGGCTATGGGGTTGATCTCATAAAAGAGCTGGCTGACAAGCTAGGCTTTAACTTTACGTTCAACAATGGTGGCAACGACTATGGTTCTTATAACAAGTACACCAATGAGTCCACTGGCATGCTTAGAGAGATTATGCATGGTGTAAGTATATATCTTTTACAATACTGCATCCCAAATATATTATTTTTTCAGCGCGCTGATTTGGCAATAACGGATCTTACAATTACCTCGGAGCGTGAGGAGGCCATCGATTTTACAATACCATTTATGAATTTAGGTAAACTGAACAACTTGTTAAAAAGCCTATTTCCTCACTCTACATACTAGTTCATTCCTTATAGGCATTGCCATACTCTATTTGAAACCCCAAAAGGCACCACCAGCACTGTTTACCTTTATGGATCCATTCTCTGAGGACGTTTGGTGGTTTCTAGGCCTCTCATTTCTGGGCGTCTCATTGAGTTTCTTTATACTGGGTCGCCTATCGCCAGCCGAATGGGACAATCCCTATCCTTGTGTGGAGGAGCCCACAGAACTGGAAAATCAATTTACCATAGGCAACTCCATTTGGTTCACTACCGGAGCACTCCTGCAGCAGGGCTCAGAAATTGGACCCAAGTATATGTCTGAGGTGAACCTTAAGAAGGGACTAATTTGGCAAAATATTTTGCAGAGCGCTTTCTACGCGGGTCGTGGGCACATTTTGGTGGTTCTTCACCCTTATTGTGGTATCCTCCTATACGGCCAACTTGGCCGCCTTTTTGACCATCGAACAGCCACAGAGCTTGATCGATAGTGTTGACGATTTAGCTGATAACAAAGGTGGTGTAGTATATGGTGCTAAACGCACGGGCTCTACCAGAAACTTTTTTATGGTAAGTTGACCGTTGATAACCTGCTGTACTATAAAATATGTTTTATCCCAACTTATAGACATCTGAGGATGAACGTTACAAAAAAATGAACCAATTTATGATGGAAAATCCCGAGTACTTAACTGAGACTAATCAGGAGGGCGTCGATCGTGTCAAAACAAGCACCAAATATGCATTTCTCATGGAGTCCACGTCTATTGAGTACAACACAAAGCGCGAGTGTAACCTAAAGAAAATTGGCGAGGCCTTGGATGAAAAAGGATATGGCATAGCCATGCGGAAAAGTGGGTTATTGCTCCGAAACTTTACATAAAACTTATTCGATGGCAGCTCATTTCAGATTGGCCACATCGCGATAAATTCAACAATGCGCTGCTCGAGCTTCAGGAACAAGGCGTTCTCGAGAAAATGAAGAACAAATGGTGGAATGAAGTGGGCACTGGCATTTGTGCAGTAAGTTGTATATCCGATGCTAGATATACGAGTTTTGGGCAAATTTTTGAAGCCTAAGCATGTTGTCCTTCTCAGACCAAAGAGGATGCTCCCGATGCTACACCCTTAGCTATGGACAATTTAGAAGGGGTGTTTTTCGTACTGCTCGTCGGCAGTTGTTGCGCAATATTCTATGGGATTGTAAGTTGGGTGCTCTTTGTAATAAAAAAGGCACGACACTATCAGGTGAGTTGGTCGCCTTTACCTCTTGACTAAGAAAGCCTATAAAACGTTGATGAACATTACAGGTGCCACTGCGTGAGGCATTAAAAGAAGAGTTCAGATTTGTGATTGACTTTAACAATTATGTGCGCGTACTGAAGAGTTCCGCTTCAGTTTACTCCCGCAGTCGTCAGTCTTCCATGTCAGTGGCCTCCATGGCTGAGTGACAAGCTACTACCTTGGCTTTAAACAGTTGGACAATTTGATTCTTTATTGAAAATGGAATGATGAACTATTAAGAACTATTTCAGTTGGTAAATGTTTACATAACAATATGTGTCAAAGCTTTTGAATAAGAAATAGATAGTTTAGCAAAATACAACAATCAATGCATTAAGTTGAGATCATGATTTAGGTCCAGTGCTTGGCACGCCAAAGTAGGCAATGTATGTGGTTGTCCAAATCAACTATTGGCAAGTTCTTAGCGCCAGCATGTGTGGGGGTACCCACAAGACGCGACTGTGTCATGGTCGATGACGTCGTGGATTCCGGTACGTCCACATACCGGGATATTAGCGAACGGTAGCGTCGTCCAATTGTAGCAATTAGAGGCACATTCGGGTGTGGCACTGCTATAATTGTCTTTATCTGTAGAGGGCAAACAATTTTGAGAATACTTTAAGATCAAATAGCTTCACTTCAATTTTTTGGTTAAACACACCTCGTTCTCATAGGGTCTAAATACACTTATTGGTCGGAGTGTTTGGAGCTCAGCAACGATAAGACAACCCCAGGTTGTACCTATGTATAGCTCTGTACTGTGCGTCGCAAGTGCAGATATTTGACATTTAATTAAGCTTAGATGTTCGTCAATTGCAATGCTTTTGAGAGACTCCGAGCAGGGCAATAGTTTAGAACAATCCAGCTTGTTAACAATTTCTTTGCCAGAGGCATGCCACTGATAAACGATGAACCCGGGATAAAGGCAAGTAAACAAGTATGTATCATTGGCACACATGCGAGCTACTTTAATATCCTCAATAAGATTCGGCTCATCGATATGACAAAGCGCCTGATGGCCAGAGACGCCAGAGGCGTTCAAAGGAAATACATTGATCTTTCCGGCCAACTCGCCACACCACAATTCGTAGTTGCTATTTTGGAATATTAATTCAGCAGTCAATGGGTTATTAATATACTTCAGTATTATCATCTTACCCATCAACATAAACTGTACAAGCTGCATGAAGCACAAAACCAGAACAGATTTCGGTGAGCACAAACGAGCCCTCGGCAAACGCGCAATTAGTGGGCACTTTGGTGGCATCCACCAAAAAAACACGACCATTATGCAGACCCACCGCCACACGTTCAATACGCTGCATATAAACTAGACTTATGACAGGTGACTTAATGGCTGGATCAAGCATGTAGGAGAAGATATGCATGTAGGTGGAAGTGCTGTAGGCATGCAGATTGCCAGATACGTCACCCATCCATATTGCATCGCCAATGATGCAACAACACAGCATATTGACTTTGGGTGGACGAGTCGCAGAACGAGCGCGTGTTGCAGCACCGCCAGCTTCGGGTGTCTTGGGCGCCACTTGTGGTTGTGGCGCACATAAAATACTGCTGCACTGCAACAAACTGCCCCCGGCTGTGGTGTCCAGTATATCGATACGCGAATTAAAGGCAGGTAGCCACAACTCGAAGCCCGCGCTCTCATCCTCTGCGCTGTGCAGGGCATTGAAAACGCCGCAGACAATCTTCTCACTATGCGGAAGTGCCACCACGTCCAGAAGATGTATGCATTCGGGGGCTGTAAGAATGAAATGTCGATTAGTTGATATTGAGACGATCAATTCAAAAATGTTGGAATTATTTCTCACCCGTAAGAATAGAAACTATTTGACTAGCAGTAGGACGCTTCTTAGGGAGCTCATCCCAGCATAGCACCATGAGGTCGAGGCAATAAGTTGGGAACTGGGTTTCCCTTTGTGTCAGTGGCGGACGACTTCCATCCAGTATACACTCTTTTATCGATTCGTGGCCTTCGAAGGGCTGACGCAGACTTATGTTTTCATAAATGAACATGCCAAAGGAGAAACAATCCACCTACAAACAAAGATCATTAGCAAACCAAGGACTAAAGAGTTACAAAGAAGCTTACCTTTTCCGTATACTCCTCTTCTCCATTGTAGCGTATAATTTCTGGCGCCATAAAGCCCTCAGTGCCACCAAAACCTTTTGATCCACTAGGCGCGGTCTGTCGACTGATGCCATAGTCGGCAATCTTAATGTGCACCGAATTTCGCGGACTGTCCTCGCTGTGCGGTTGCGGAAAGTCCCAGACTAACACGTTCTCCGATTTTAAGTCCCGATAGATAATGCGCCTCCGATGTAGATATTCAATTGCACGCGCAGCCTGCAAAACCTGGAACGTATAAAAATAGTTAGTTGTAAACAAAACAAGTAAAAAAGCTAAAGTCGGGTGTCCCGACTTTGAAATACTCTGTACATATGTTTACAATAATTATAGAAAATAAAAAAAATTAAGATTTAAAAAAAAATTTTGATTGATTTTACCTTTCTCGGTATTCGAACTCACGTAAAGGGTGTATAATTGCACATTTACATAGCAATTGCGTCTGTGTGAGTGTATGTATGCCTATGCGCATCTATTCGTGTCTGTGTAAACATGTGTGCAGTCAACCAAAGCACCAGCATCAACAACAGCCGCGGGCAGCGCTTGAGCAGCGCTGCAGCAGCAAATATATTTATGGCTATAACTTCTTGTTAAATAGGTCTATCATAGTGAAACTTGGCACACGGACACATAATAATCAACTGGGGGTATTTTAGTTCGAAATTCCAAGAATTACGGGAGTTAGAGAACATCGAGATTTGCGGAGGAGAGGGGGGAGGGAGGGAAATTCCAAAATATACATTTTCTGCGTATTCTCATAAGGCATCTGGGACTAAAATTTGGTGTTCCTAGGTCTTATAGTCTCCGAGATATAGGTGATTATACGAATGGAAAATCGGGCAACCTCCCCCATAGGGGGGAAGTTGGGGGAAATCAAAAAAATAAAACAAACTCGTATAGAATACACACATAAGGCATCTTTGTGCAAAATTTGGTGTCTCTATCTCTTATAGTCTCTGAGATCCAGGTGTTCATACGGACGGACAGACAGGGCTAGATCGACTCGTCTTGTCACGCTGATCAAGAATATATATACTTTGTGGGGCCTGCCACGCCTCCTTCTGCCTGTTACATTTTTCAGCTCCCGCAAACCTAATATACTTCTGTACATTTCATGTACAGAGTATAAAAATTAAGTTTTAGCACTACACACCAGTATTTGAAAAGTATGAGGTCCAATGTGTGCACCACTTCGTCGATATTGACGCAGCAGTGTATCTAAGCCACCCAGCGGCGCTAGCTCCAGCACTAACGCCAATGGCTTAATGCAAATGCCCACCAGAGGCACAATATTAGGATGTTTAAGAGTTAGCAATACGGCCAATTCCTGACGCGCCGTGCAATAAGCCTTGCACGAGTGCTGCAGCGGATCTCGATCCCATTTTCCAAGTGCAACTTTGTAGGCCATCAAAGCGCTCTGCAAGACAATTATGGAAGTTGACAAACAGTCAACAAGCTTGTTGTTCTCATTTAACTGACCTCTTTGGCACGGGCACCTGGCGGAACAGGTTGTAACATCTTCATAGCTACCGCCTTAAAGACGCGCGCACCGCGCATCTTACAACTAGCTTTGAAAACAAAACCGAATGCCCCTCGGCCCAGCAAAGAGCCCTTAATTATGCTCTCCGAATTGATGGTGTATTTTTCGGGTATGTCGGCAAAGATGACATCCGGTGCGAGCTGTTGCATGGACTGTTCCAAATGCACAGGACAAGATATTTTGCTTTGATTGTACACTGATAGAATGCACTCCTCTATCATCCAGCCATAGCATACGTTCGAGTTGTCCGGAATGTTATAAACGGGATGCCCATCGACGCTGGTGTTACGCGACGAGCCCGCCGAGTCAGGTCCAACGCCCGAGTCTGCATCAGAGAAGCCGCCAAGCGAATCCTACAAAATTTTATTGAAATTACTGTCTACTGACAGAAGGTAACAATAACTGACCTCTGACCGCCGTTCCCGCCTCGCTGTTGCGTTGAGATAGGCAGAGAAAACGTTCATCGCACCATCCTCACCAAAATCTCCGTGCAAAAAGAACCCACTAGCTCCAGCGCCTTGACAGCGTTTGACACTGCGACCGGACTTGCTGTACCCAACAGCTCCTATGTCGCGATCCAAGGCACCGCCATCTCCCCCATCCTTGCTGATGTTTTGAGCATTCTGTAGCAGCTTTTTAAGACAGCGTGGGCAAACGACCATGCGTGTGATCAGGAAGCGCCCCTCCGAGGTATGCACGAATCGCGTACCCAAAGAAGGATACCAGTCCTCCAACAAAAGATCAATGTGATCCACCGTCAGAGCCAATAATTTGGCCACGAGCGGCATATGTGGCTCTACTTCAGCAAGCAGTTGTCGTTCACATGCATCCAATTCCTGCGAGATGCTAACCTGTAGCAATGGAAAGTAAACCTCTAAAATGCTAGATGCATTCAAATTGACATCGCTCCAAATGCCGTCAAGCTTAAGCTTAAACCGATTTGTGGCCGTGCGAAATGGCTGAGTGCGCTCAGTGCTTTGGAAGGGCAGCTCCCAAATCTTGAATATAAGTATAGGCCCGTAGTAGAGGGCTAGGCCCGTTTGCCACAGATTCCATTGAGTGTCGTTCTCCAGAGAAGTGCGTAAATCAAAGTCCAGGTACTTCTGCAAGGAAAATTCGTTTTAAGTCACAGCTAACAACTCAATAAGTAGCCAATAACTTACATCTTGACTAGCCACATAGACACCGCGTATAGCCTCGATTATTTGCTCGTCAGCCAAAATTCGTGTGATTAGACGAGACCAGAAGCCGGAAGGAAAGTACGTCATTAATAATATGCGCCTTAAACCCATTTCCAAATTACCGAATGAAGATGACAGAGTTGCGGAGTGTTGATCATAGATCAAGTTGTTCAGATTTAGCTCCTGGGACACAGAACAACCCAGATTTGTGTTGCGTCCGCGTGCTCGCTGCGATAATTTAACAGTGGTGCCAGTATAGGAAGTGGCTGATTCCTGAAGCGGCAACAGCGATGGTATCAGCAGAGTCCGTGAGTCCCAAGTCAAAGCCACCTCGAATTTATTTAAGAGGCTGACAATGTAACTGAAGAAAAGCAAAAGGCTAAATTGACTAATCCAAGCAATCGAGTATACTAAGGCGCCCACCTGCGGTTGCTATTACCCTGCGCATTGACACTACGAAACAGTAATTGTAGATCGTCAAGCTTCATGACCCCTGTCGGCGCAAAGGGATTTATCTCACGAACGGTGACCACATGCGCCAACATGTCGCACAGCCACTGTGGGTCGAGAAAGTAATAATCCCGAAGAGTGGCATCGTCATAGTGAAGTATGACGCCATTGTCGTGGAGAAACATGGTGGCCTGTTGCAACTCCGCAGCGTCCCGGAAGCTCTTGTAGTTGTGCAGGCGCATCTCCTCCGTTACCAGTCGCTTGTATTGCTCGGCATCGAGTACGGGGTCCAAGCCAGCGTCACGCAAGTTGCAGGCAATCACATTGATGATGTCCTCAAGCGCAATGTAACTAGCGGGTATTTTCTGGAGCAACAGCGGTTCCTTGGAACCCGGCGAGCGCAGCATGAAGGCCGTGTCATAAATAATGTTGGCCAACAGGCGAATGTTGTGAAGCGTGCTGTTGATTGTAGGATAACATTATAGAACAATTTTAGGAAAAAGAAGTTATTAGTTATCAGTTATTTCGCGGATCGCACGACACTAAACAAAGCTTAAGGATATGTCATCAATAGAAATACATACCGACAACTAATCTCAATAGAGTCAATAACTCGCGGCAGTCCGATTTTCTCTGCATCCGGTATAGCAATGAACTTTTCGCGTATAATTTGCTGCAAAGCCTCGGCCTGTTGTGCCGAGAAAGATTCGCCGACGGCATCGAAATGCGTTCCAACAATGATGACGGGGGAATTTGGTGCACGCGCCTGAATGTTTCCCAACCATTGCAAGAGCTCAGCCAGTCCCTTGTTCCCATCGGTGATATTCCACAACACCAAATACAAACTACGCTTGGACAGAAAATACTGATGTGTCGCATAGTATTCCTTTTGGCCCCCAAAATCCCAGGTACGAAACATTACAGGGCCATGGGAGCCAGGCGCCTTCTTACGCTTCTCACATATCCAAGTGCCAATATCCACGCCCACTGTCGAAATGTTGCCCGAACTGGCCGCATTTCGTTGTGAACGTGATGTGCTACGCGTATGACCCATGCGCTTAGCCCAATGATTCTCACTGGCTCGTGACTTATGCGCACTTACACCCTGACGCAATAGATCGAGAAGAGTGCTCTTTCCTATGCCCTGTACTCCGACAACCATGAGCTTCATCCGCGCATATGGCTGGGCATCCTCATATATTGACTTTAGATAGCCAATAATGTCCATTGTCTTGTACTTTTTACTATCAATCATGGATTTCAATGGGTCTTGCAGCAAACAACCTCGAGTGTTGAGATTCCAGAGCCTCGTTAACAAGCCTAGATGTGGTGGCAAATCCGTCACTTGCACATTGCCACTGATGTTAAGCACACTCAGGCTGTTGAGCTCATGCAGCGATGTGGGTATTTCCTTGAGACAGTTATTGCTAATATCCAACATAGACAGATTGGGGAATATAAGCTTGGACTTGTTTACGCCCACAACATTCCAATCGGCATCGTCGGACTCATTGAACAGCGTCGTTACATCATCCGTCGAGAGTTGTATCCGTGTGAGTAGATTGTCCGCCAGTATAAGAGTCCGTAACGCCTCCAGGCGCAAGTGTCGGCGATGCCGACACACACTTTTTAGTACTGAAGCACGAAACGAGGGCGCCTTTGATTGACTTTGGTACTTTGCAAACGATGGAGTCTGCTCATCGACCTCCATCTGACGTTGTATATAACTGTAGCACAGCAGATGGGGATCAGATTCGCGTATTTGAGGCAAACTGGGCCAGCATGAAATCTCATTGTGACTCAAATCAAGCTGTTTGAGCGTAGCCGGGTAGCTAGTGACGTGACCCATGGAACGCAGACTGTTGTAGGACAAATTAAGACGGGTGAGGTTTAATGCGAGGCAAGGCAAGGCGGCTGGTATGCTGGTGAACAGATTATTAGCAATGTTCAAACTGCTCAGCTGCGAAGCTCCGTCTTCCGGCTTGACTTCGTGCCATTTCAACTCATTGTCTGTAACCTCCAGTGAGGCGGACCAAATATTGCGATGCGTCAGCTGCTGATAGCTGAGCGTGCGTAGCTTATTGCTCTGCGTTTCCCCTGCGTCCAAGTTAGCAAACGGCTCTAGATCCAATTTATCGAGGCTCAGTTGGGAGTTGGACGGAGTTTGCATGGGCGGCACAGGTAAATCACGCAGCAAATTAAATGCGACATTGAGCTCACGCAACTTGGGTGAGCGCCACATATCGAAGGGTAGCTCCTGCAGCTTATTATTGGATATGTCCAATATTGTTAGAGCCGGCAAGTGGAAGATGGCGGCTGGTATACCAGTTAGTTGATTATCCTGCACAAAAAGCTCATCAAGCACGGGACATTTGTAGGCAGGCTTGCTGCCTTGGCATGTCGGCTCCGGCAGATGCGTGATTTTGTTCTGAGCCAAGTTCAGATATCTGCAAATTATACCCGTGAATACTCATAAGATTACCCACTCAATGCCTTACTCACTTCAGACTGACAAGATTGAAGATTTCCACGGGCACGCTTGTGAGAACATTATGCGAAAAGTCAATGCGTGTGATGGCGGTAAGGGCTACATCTATTAATTTCGGGTGCCCCTGTAGCTTTGGATTCAAGTGAAGTACGCCATTGACCATCCAATTAACGCTACGGGTAACAAATTATGTTTGTTTAAAAAAAAATATATCATAATTATAACATATAAGTAACGCGAACAATAAACAATATTTAAATTGGTTTTTCTTACCTCACAAAGGGCAGCTGCGCATTCATGTTGCTGTGCCAGTCAATGATGGTCGGTACGTTGGGAAACATGGCGCTGTAGGATATGTTGGTAGCAGAGGGCATAAAAACGTTGACCTCCACGGGCGTGGGCAAACCCTTTTTGTTTATCTTATAATCCGAGTCAGGATGCACACGCCGGGCTAGGAGACGATTCAAAATAGCCTCATCCCCGCTAGCAATAGCCACACAAATGGCAGTGCCATTATCATCGCGAGCACCGAACCTACAAAAAGGATGGGTATTAATTGTATTGCATTGTTGAATAATGTGCGTTCAAGGCAACCCACTTTAGCAACAAATCCAGCATGGGTAGCGAACGTTGTTTGCATGCTTCGGCTATAGGCACGTTGCTGAGTCCATAAATTTCTTCGCTGCACTTGGGATCATTCTGGTCCTCCACAGGCTTGGCAACAATATTCGGATTGGCACCGTGCTGCAACAACGCCTGTGCGACATCCAGGAATCCACCACGAACGGCCGCCAGCAATGTCGTTTCTCGCGCCGCGCCACAGAGTAGATTTACGTTTATGGGACAGCGCTGACTCTCGTGCTCGTCCGCCTCCATTGACTTGACCAGCGCATCTCCTTCTCCGGATATATGTAGCTTGGACATAATGGCTTGTATGCCGAAGGAGATACGCTTACGCGTTGGCGTAATTGGCGTACTTGAAGCGGATGCCTGTTCGCCACTGCTCAGCGTCTTGCGACAGCGCACCTGCCACTTAAGCAGAACGCCCAACAGCGACTTGTTTCCCAATATGCTGGCAATATAGAGACTGGTCTGACCCGTTACGTCCTGTGCATTTGGATCGAAGGGTAGTCGCCATTCCCAGATGCCCTCCTCGTCGCGATATGTCTGATAGAGGTAGTCGGGATATTGAAAGTTGATAAGCAGCTCGAGTAGCTTAATATGCCCATTGATGCAGGCCGCATGTAAGGGTAGCCAACGCTCCACTATACAGAGTACATACAAATAAATAGACGTATTTTTAACCAGAATGGGTAGCCCTTACCTGTTGGTTGCTGTATGAGTTCCGGAAATCGCTCCAACATCAGTTTAGCAATGCCATAATGGCCATGATGCACAGCAGCATAAAGAGGCGAATATTTGGTGACAGCATGTGACCGCCCATCTGCACCCGCATCGAGCAGGCGATGGGTAATGTTCTCAAAGCCGGATTGACTGGCACTGTGCAAAAGAAATAAATATGTACTTTCAAATGAATATTCTGACCCCTTAGCTACTTACATGAATAGCAGCGTATTCGCCCCCGCTGGTGCCATATTCACTATAATCTGGCGCTCGCTGGCCATTGCCTCCAGCAGGACGCGCACGGTGCGTTCATCACCCGTCGAAACTGCCTGTCGCAGTTCCCGATGCTTAATTAGGCGCACCTGCTCGCGCGCATCTGCAATATTCGCATTTGAATGAATGCCATATGCTAATTTTAGATGCTCCACATTTAAATACATCCACACCACCCCCTCACCCTGCTTTACCTAGGCCTCGCGTCATTTCAATGACCTCATCGACAAAATAATCACAGGCCTCCAAGGCAGTCTCAGTGCCTGCTTTTGGCTGTTCCACAAAATTCCAAGACATTTCCGGCGATTGGTAGACCACGCTTACATAATTCAAAACGACGGCAATAACACTGTGCACATTTATGGCGGCAAACAGACTAAATACCAATGCAATTGCCGACTACCCAACTGCACGCGGCCGTGCTTAAAATTCAACTAAATTTGCTGAGGTTTAGCGGTTTTGCTTTCGGCTAGGAAAATCGATTATTGTAATTGGTTCGTTGCCACGTTGTCACTCGTCGTCATGTCCTGGCTTCGAGTTCATTCATCCAAGGCAACGCGTCGACTGCCGTACGCACTGCGCAAGACAAGCAAATCAACTCAACTGTTGCATGTGGTCATGGTTTGTATTCACATGTACATGTGTCTGCATATTTGTTTACATTGCAGTCAGCGATGCGGTGCAACAATTGCAGCGCACCAGTTGATGCGGCAGCCACAATGCTATGAGTATTGATACTCGCAGCCTAATAAACCTGCTCAAATTACACGATGACAAACAGACAGTTGTCGCTTTAACCAATAATAAATATGCGAATTCTTAAGAACAATAAGTGTTCTGAATTAGTTGAGTGTATTTTTTAATCATGAATTAAATTACGCGCCATACCGTTTCTTTATATTGCAAGACGACAAACACCCTGTGATTGTAGCTATCGATAATGGAACTTATCGATTGGCAAATCAGCAAACCAAAACAAACAAAAGAGGTAAACACAAAAACAAAACGAGAATACAAATTCTCATATAACGCAGGGTAATTTACACAAACTTTCATGTCGGACTACATAGTGCATTTTAACTATTTCATATACAGGACACTCGACTTCCATCAAGCTTAAGCAAATCTCCCCTCCATAGGGCATTTGTATCTAAACAAACGAAATATCATATTTTTAATTAATAACTTATAGTTAACCACGTTCTAAATATCGTTGGCGACTACACCGTCTACCCCTTACGCAGGTGCTGGCCAAAAAAATTTATTGATATTGTGCAAAGTGATCGGTCGCCTTGTCAGTCTCACTTACCCTCGTCCGAATCGCTCATTTTCTTAATATATACTGCATAAATTTTTTAACACTATTCACCACATGCTTTTAAACACATTTTTGATGGCGTTGATCCACATCTATTTATTTCTTTTATTTAAAAGTTTACATGTTGATTATGTGTTAGCGAAATTTTCACTTTTGTTTACCTCTGCGCACAAAATGCACTAAATAACTCCCCCCCACTCAATTTGACCAATGTTGCCCTTTGTAAAAAAGTATTGATATTTTGCGTCGCCCTGGCATATAATGGTGCATCATTATCATTTATGAAGTAACACCCTTTTCCCTGCCCCTATTCCTTAAAATTACTAAATATAATCGCGCATCCATTAAACTATACATTTTAATTATTTAACGAAAACAACGCTTTTATTTCGTCAGGCCATCGGAGTTCGCAGCTGTTTGCCTTAGCAATTTTATTATGAGTTTTTAAAATTTAAGGGAAATGTAAAAAAATGCAATTTAAACTTTTTAATTTTGTATAATTAAAATAAATACATTTATCAGTTTTGAACATGTTTTCAACTTTTATTTATCGTCTATCAATAACAGTGCTGCCAATGCAATGAAAGACTTAGTGCAGTGTTGACCTCAGTTCTAAACTCGTAAATACACAAATAAAAATAATAATAACAATAATAATATAAGAAAAATATTGTGCACCCAAATAAAAATACCGTGTGATCTGCTTTATTGGTATGAATTTCGCTGGCGTAGCATTGGGTACTGCAGCGATTTTAGCTGTGTCTGAAATAAACTGCGCAGCTACCCAAAGGTCTGACCTAAAGCAGCCAAATAAAACAGGGACTGTAATGAAATTTCAGAATTCCTAATCAGGCTGAGCCCAGACACATTAAGAAAATTAGGGCGGTGCGATCGCGACTTTACGGACTTGCGACTAGGAGATACGACAGCCGTGCCGCGTAACTATTTATACCCTTACCTTTTAGAAGTATGCAAGCACGCACAATGTGTTTGAAACCCATAAAAGTTGTAAACAAGAGGCGGGTGAAAAATGAAATTACAGTTTTTGGTTAATAGAGTTATACTTACTTTATTAGCATAGAGCTACACCATAAACGGATACCTTTACTGAGTTGTTGAGGAATCTAGAAATTAATCTGTAGCAGAGTATACAGAGTCCGTGCACTGCAATGTACATATGTATGTATGTAGCTGCTTTTCTTGTTTTCGCTTATGACTCGTTCGGGTGCTGGATGTGCCTCGCTTCTGCTTTCTGCCGCTAGTCTCGAGCGGCAATATGGTACCCGCCGCAATGCATGATTCATACTTAATATTATATTAAGTCAATGTTTTCGGATAAGTTCAGGCTGAAGTTTCAATTGAGATATTTAAGTATGTGTCATACATTTTCTAATAAACTGCTGCTTTTGAGAGTTCTGGAATTTATGTACATAAGTTCTCCTTTAGTTGATGGAAAACCATCTGAGAAACCCATTTGGATTAAGTTCGCTTAATATTTTGTCTAGGCGTTTCTTCTAATGAAATGTTTGACTCACAATGCAATGCAATATTATTATAATGTTATAAGATATTTAATAATTTTAATTTATTTCTTTCACACTCATAAAACTTAAAAAGTTTCTTAAAGAAAGCAACAACAAAAAAGTTTCCTTTCTAAAACGAAGGCAACGATGAGTAATTTTTAAATAAAGTAAAAATGCGTGAGAGTGTTAATATTTAAAATATTTAGCTACATATGGAACCATATTAATACAAAATAATTGACCGTTTCCGTTTTACAGACATTAAGATTTTGCTGCTGATTTGAATGGGGAACTGTAAAAATGCCGTAACAAAAACGGAAATGTGTAAACACCTAAACGAAAACCACGGTAGGGCATTATTAACAACAACAAGGGAAAAGCACGAATAAAAACTGCAAGCAACGATTAAAAGACATATAAGAACGCTCTAGTTAAATAAGCACACATTCACCCACGTACATACATACACACAGAAACCGATCGCCATGTCACTACTACAGCCACCGCTGTGCACCCCATCAAAGTTCTCCTTCAGCCTTTGGAAGAACGATCCGCCTGATATTGTAGATATAATATGCCTAATGCCGAATGGTCTGGTGCTGCCTTTACGCATGAGATCGATCGCAACAGTCCGTGAGGTAAAAGCAGAGATGGTCCGATCAGCCAAGCCCCGACCGCTTGGTTACTTGATCAAGGATGCCTGCGATTACGTGGTCAGTGGCATATCGCCCTTCAGCATCGAGCCCTATATAGATGAGACAAAAAGACTGTGCGAGGTTCAACCTTACTTCTGCCTGCTGTGTCTGGGTGAGCGCACTGATGCCAGCACCCTATCCAGCGACTATGAGCTAACGAAAATGGTCAACACAATGATTGGCAAGCCATTTGATCACCAGAATGCAAAAGTCACACCTGAGATCGATGACTTTCGGCAAAAGATGTCCCATATTTCTGAAGAAATCGAAGAGGAGCGCTTGCAGTACACATGGCAGCAACACCTGCTCTACGAGCATCCATTGCGTCTGTCCACCTCAGCTGAAATGCCCAATCCCATACGTCAACAACATCCTAACTCGGCGTTTCTGATCGTCGTTAAAAATGAGAACGATCATTCAACATTTACACTATCGGTGTTGGAGAGCGATACGCCGCACTCTTTAATAGAAAGCGCGCTCCAGAAGATGAATCGCTCACAAATGAAGATTAACGATCGCGCTTCCGACTATATACTTAAAGTGAGCGGGCGCGATGAATATTTGTTTGGCGATCATCCCCTGATACAGTTTCTGTACATTCAGGAGGCACTCTCTGACTCTGCGGTGCCCAACGTATTGCTGCTTTCGATAATACGCCTAGACTCCTATATTAACCATCCCAATCACAACGAGAGCAGCACGTTAAAACGAGCACCTAAGCCTAAACGCGAGATTGCCCATGGGCCGTTTCCACCTTTAACTGTGTGGGATATGGACGGTTATTTCACACTAACTTTACACATGATCGGCAATGTTAACTACGATGGAGGGCGTGCCCTAAAGGTGGGCGTGGACGTGGGTCTATACCATGGCGATCGAAAACTGTGCATCCACCGCACTGTAGACTCGCCTAGTTGCAATTCACGAAATTATACTTTCGACAAAAAGCTAGAATTTGATATATTAATGCGAAACCTGCCGCGTATGACAAGGGTATGCATTGTCATATTTGAGGTGACCAAAATGTCGCGCTCGAAAAAGTCGTCGAACAACAAGGACAACGTTCTGAAGGATATCACGTATAACAATAACAAAAATCCACTTGCCTGGGTTAACACTACACTATTCGATTACAAAGATCGACTGCGGACAGGGATCCAAACACTCTACACATGGACCTATGCCGACGATATACAATCAGACGAAGTGTTTCATCCGCTAGGCACCATTGAGTCAAATCCACGCAAGGATGAGTGCGCCGTCGTGCACTTGACATTCCTCCCGTGAGTGAAAGTGCTAACAATATTCTTTGTGTCCAACAATCTTATTTGCTTTCATTTTATATACAAATTCAGCAATGGCGCAAAAAGCTTACGTTTCCCCAGCGAGGATACGGTGCTGAAATATGCGGCAGATCGCGCCCAATCCAATCGCGATACACAATCACAGAGTGAAACTGTAAGGCCATTGGCTGACCTTCTCAGCAACTACACAGGACTGGACAAAATCTACGAAATGCATGACCAGGATCGTAATGCTATATGGGAGTACAGGTGTGTATTATTTGTTAAATAGTGTAAAAAAGTATATGTACATATTCTTGAAAGGTTGATATTTAATGTCTCGACTTTGTGTAGAACATCAAAAAATAAAACAAACTCGTATAGCGCACACACATAAGACATCTTTGTGGAAAATTTGAGATCTAGATGATCATACGGACGGACAGACAGACATAGATCGGCTCGTCTTGTAATGCTGATCAAGAATATATATACTTTGTGGGGTCTGCCACGCCTCCTTCTGTGTGTTACATACATACATTCGCACAAAACTAGTATACTCTTTCATCCTTTGGGTTCAGGATATAAGGAAGGATTGCTAGACTCGAGCGGGCTCAACTCTTAAATAACCTGTACCTTTTTAATTAGTTAAATAACTACATTTCATAAAAACAAGTAGAAAAGCTAAAGTCGGGTGCCCCGACTTTGAAATACTCTGTGCATATGTTTAGAAAATTTACAGAAATGAAATAAATTAAGAAAATTAAAAACCAAATTTTGATCGAATTTACCTCTCGGTATTTGAACTAACGTAAAGGGTGTATAATTGCACATTTACAAAGCAATTTTGTCTATTTGAGTGTATGTTTGTCTATGCGCGTCTATTCGTGTCTGTGTGAGCATGTTTGCAGCCAACCAAAGCACCAACATCAACAACAGCTGCGGGACCTCAACCACCTCGCAACGTTTACAATAATTATAGAAAACAAAAAAAAATTTTGATCGAATTTACCTTTCTCGGTATTCGAAGTTCGAACTCACGTAAATGCTGCATAATTGCACATTTACATAGCAATTGCGTCTGTGTGAGTGTGGCATACATACACGCATCTATTCTGAGTAAACATGTTAGCAGTCAACCAAACAGCAACATCAACAACAGCCGCGGGCAGCGCTGCAGCAGCAAATTTATTTATTGCTATAACTTCTTGTTAAATCGGTCTATCATAGTGAAACTTGGCATACGGTCACCTAATCACCCACTGGGGGTATTTTCCACGTTTGAGTTCAAAATTCCAAGAATTACGGGAGTTACGATTTGTGGGGGAGAGGGGGAAGGGAGGTAAATAAACAAAATACACTTTTTCTGCGTATTCACATAAAGCTTGGACTTAAATTTGGTGTCCCTTATAGTCTCCGAGATATAGGCGATTATACGAAAGGAAAATCGGGAAAACCCCCATAGGGGGGAAGTGGGGCAGAAAATCAAAAAAATAAAACAAACTCGTATAGAATACACACATAAGGCATCTTTGTGCAAAATTTGGTGTCTCTATCTCTTATAGTCTCTGAGATCCAGGTGTTCATACGGACAGACGGACGGACAGACGGGGCTAGATCGACTCGCCTCGTCATGCTGATCAAGAATATATATACTTTGTGGGGTCTGCCACGCCTCCTTCTGCCTGTTACATTTTTCAGCTCCCGCAAACCTAATATACTTCTGTACATCAATTTTGTATCAATTTTGCTCAATTTTTCGACTTTATGCCAAAAAAAACGGATTTCTGGACCACAGTGCATTGGCCCAAATAGAACATTACATTTGTCGAACATCACAATTTGTTGATATAAAGTTGTAAAAAATAAAGTTATGAGTAAAACGAAACATATAACAAGTAAAAAAGCTAAAGTCGGGTGTCCCGACTTTGAAATACTCTGTACATATGTTTACAATAATTATAGAAAATAAAAAAAATTAAGAAAATAAAAAAAAAAATTTGATCGATTTTACCTCTCTCGGTATTCGAACTCACGTAAAGGGTGTATAATTGCACATTTACATAGCAATTGCGTCTGTGTGAGTGTATGTATGCCTATGCGCATCAATTCGTGTCTGTGTAAGCATTTTCGCAGTCAACCAAACAGCAACATCAACAACAGCCGCGGGCAGCGCTTGAGCAGCGCTGCATCAGCAAATATATTTATGGCTATAACTTCTTGTTAAATCGGTCTATCATAATTTGGCATACGGACACATAATAACTAACTGGGGGTATTTCCAAAATTTTAGTTCGAAATTCCAAGAATTACGGGAGTTACGATTTGCGGGGTAGAGGGGGGAGGGAGGGGAATTCCAAAATATACATTTTCTGCGTATTCACATAAGGCATCTGGGACTAAAATTTTGTGTTCCTAGGTCTTATAGTCTCCGAGATATAGGCGATTATACGAATGGAAAATCGGGAAAACCCCCATAGGGGGGAAGTGGGGGGGAAAATCAAAAAAATAAAACAAACTCGTATAGAATACACACATAACGCATCTTCGTGCAAAATTTGGTGTCTCTATCTCTTATAGTCTCTGAGATCTAGGTGTTCATACGGACGGACAGACGGACAGACAGACAGACAGACAGGGCTAGATCGACTCGTCTCGTCATGCTGATCAAGAATATATATACTTTGTGGGGTCTGCCACGCCTCCTTCTGCCTGTTACATTTTTCAGCTCCCGCAAACCTAATATACTCTTGTACATTTCATGTACAGAGTATAAAAATATATATAATTGACGCAATTCTTGTTTCAAATAAGTACCACATACATAACTGTGTGTTAATTAAACAAACTTGGCGAAAATTTTGTGTCGCCGATTGGGCAGGTCTGTGTGTTATGAAATATGAATGATAATAAACTGCCATTTAAATATTCAATACGAACCAGCGAAATAAAATGAGAGTACATTTTTGTACTTTCTGAAATGCTAGTTTTTTCCAAGGGAAAACATAGATTGTCACAACAGTACGCAATTTTAGATCAATTTATGGAAGTACTATACACCCTGTAATTGCGAAAAAATCGAAAAGATGTTAAAATAAATTTAATTTGTAATAAGCAACATTCTTTTGTGGGATCAGATACGCTTCTTAAACATTTGTGTTGTATTTTTTCAAAAATTAATTGGCGTTTCCGCAAATACTTACGGGCTAATATTAATGCAAATGGCATAATTGTTTTGTAGTAAACGTAGTACGTTGCAGAATTTAAACACAATTAGTCGGTCAAATGTACTCATCGACAGTCAGCTGTTGGTGGCACCTGAGTACGTTACAGGATTTTTACAAAATTAGTCAGTCGAATGTGAGCGTTAACAGTCAGCTGTTACTGACAGCTGGCTTGGAGGGGAAGTTGAAAAAATGAAATCTTTCGAAGTTCTGTGGGATCGACGAATTTTTTGGGAGTTTTCAAAAGCAACTAGGTATGTTAATCGAAGGGAAAACATCGATGTTGATGTACATCGGTGTCTCTTTATAAAAAATCGATGCGTGGTCGATGCATTGCAAAAAAACATCGATGCATCGATGTTATAAAAAATTAACTTTCCATAGAAAAAAATCTATTATTATGGAGCTAATCAACATAGATGCTTGAAATATAAAATGTTTATATATCAAGAGAGACTGTCATAGCATTTTACTTAATGTTGTTAATCAAAATAGTACTCGTAATATTGACTTTTGATGAACTTGTATGGCTTACTTAAAAAAAACTGATTATATACAGTTTTTAAAACAATGACGCGTTGCAGCTACACCTCTTAGGCATATTAAGTGTGACATTACATACGAAAAAAAGTAGATCAAATACCTAACAATATAAAATGTATATTATAAAATACACATTTTAACGAAAATATCAAATAATATATAATATAAATATACCTTCTTCTATAAACCACACAAAGAAATGTGACCGCCAAACAAAACATGAATAATGTTCGATGTTTGGACAAACATCGTTAGCATAGCTCTGTACATGAAATGTACAGAAGTATATTAGGTTTGCGGGAGCTGAAAAATGTAACAGGCAGAAGGAGGAGTGGCAGACCCCACAAAGTATATATATTCTTGATCAGCACGACGAGACGAGTCTATCTAGCCCTGTCTGTCCGTCTGTCCGTCCGTATGAACACCTGTATCTGAGAGAGTATAAGAGATAGAGACACCAAATTTGCACAAAGATGCCTTATGTGTGTATTCTATACGAGTTCATTTTATTTTTTTGATTTTCCGTCCCACTTCCCCCCTATGGGGGTTTTCCCGATTTTCCTTTCGTATAATCGCCTATATCTCGGAGACTATAAGACCTCATGCGCTGCCTGCAGCTCTGTCGGCAGCGCTGCCCGCAGCTGTTGTTGTTGTTGCTGCTTTGGTTCAACTTTGTGCTGCATACATACACGTATATAAACACGCATAGGTACGTGATGTAAATGTATGCTGTTAAAACTGAACATAAACATGTATTCTAATTTAATTAATTAATTAATTCATTCATTTTTTTTTTAATTTTTTTTTTTTAATTTTTCTTTTTTGTGGAGAGTACAGGCTATTTTACTTTCGGGCTTGCTCGACTGTAGCGTTCTATCTTGTTTTAATTTCTATAATTATTGTAAACATATGTCCAGAGTATTTCAAAGTCGGGACACCCGACATTAGCTTTTTTACTTGTTTATAGCCTGTACCCAAAGGGTAAAAGGCTATACTAGTTAGTTGTGAATGAATGTAACACACAGAAGGAGGCGTGGCAGACCCCACAAAGTATATATATTATTGATCAGAATGACAATTCGAGTCTGTCTGTATGAACGCAAGGATCTCAGAAAGTATAAGAGCTAAAATAACCAAACTTGGTATCCAAATTCTCCTGAGCCCGAGAAAGGAGGAGCTTGTCAATTTTTTCTGATGCATCCCCCACTCCCCCCAATATTCACGATTTTCTATAACTCCCGTAATTCTTGGAATTTTGAACTAAAATTTGGTAGTCACATCCAGTTAGTAATTATAAAGTAAAGTAAAGTAATTATATATTCGTATACCAAGTTTCATTATGATAACCAGGCCCAAGCTGTATCCGCAGCTGTATTTGTTGCTGCTTTGACATAATTATGTAATGCACACATATATATGTACAAGTACACAAACACGCATATACACGATTATGATGTAAAAGTATGTATGGAATATTTTATATTTAATTAAATTAATTAATTAAATGTTTTTAATAATTTTTTTTGTGGGGTGGTACAGGGTATTTAAGAGTTGAGCCTGCTCGACTTTAGCATTCCTTTCTTGTTTGTTTATTATACCCTGTACCCAAAGGGTACAAGGGTATATTAGTTTTGTGCGAGTGTACAGACCCCACAAAGTATATATTCTTGATCAGCATGACAAGCCGAGTCGATATAGCCATGTCCGTCTGTCTGTATGAACGCAAGGATCTGAGAAAGTATAAGAACTAGAATAACCAAACTTGGTATACAGATTCTCCTGAGCCTGAAAAAAGACGAGTTTGTTCATTTTTCCCGATACACCCCCCCACTCCCCCCTATTCGTGATTTTCTATAACTCCCGTAATTCTTGGAAGTTTGAACTAAAATTTGGTAGACATATCCAGTTAGTGATTATATATCCGTATACCAAGTTTCATTATAATAGGTTGATCAGAAAGAAAGTAATAGCCATATAACCAGACCCAATGCACACATACATACATATGTACAAGTACACAAACACGCATAGACACGATTCTGATGTAAATGTATGTATACATGTATGGAATATTTTATATTTAATTTAGTTAATTAATTAAATTAATTTAATTTAATTAATTAATTTCATTTAATTTCTTTTTTTGTGGGGTGGTACGGCGTATTTAAGAGTTGAGCCTGCTCGACTTCAGCATTCCTTTTGTTTTGTTTTTTTGTGAGGTGGTATCGAGTATTTAAGAGTTTGTTTCAAAGTCGATGCACCCGACTTTAGCTTCTCCACTTGTTTTACACAAAACTATGTACTATACATATGTAGAAGTATGTACTTTCTTAATGAATACAAGTATGTACATATGTATATTTTCTGTATATTATTATATAGTGTATTTAGTTATTCAAATCGACTGCACGCATTATTAAAGTTATTGCATTCAATGCTTACAGATATGAAATACAACATGAATTTCCGGAGGAGCTCTCAATACTATTACACTGCGTATATTGGAAAGAGCGTGATGATTTTTCCGAAATTTGGTATCTACTGAAACAGTGGCCAGTCATCTCCTCTGAACGGTCACTTGAGCTTCTCGATTATGCTTATCCCGATCCGGCTGTGCGTAAATTTGCTATTAAGTGTCTGCAAAATCTAAAGTGAGCTTCCAACGAATATTCGAGTTTTTAAATTAAATTATACCTTTACTATTATTATTTGAATTGCAACCACAGAGATGAGGAGCTGTTGCTCTACTTGCTACAGCTGGTCCAGGCCATTAAACATGAGTCCTACTTGGACAACGAACTAGTTGTGTTTCTATTAAAGCGGGCGCTTCGCAATCAAAGAATTGGTCATTATTTCTTTTGGCATCTGCGCTCGGAAATGACAACGCCCTCGGTGCAGACGCGCTTTGGTCTGCTGCTTGAGGCTTACCTAAAAGGCTGTAAACATCATGTGACGCCGCTGCGCAAACAGGTGCAGGTGCTGGAGAAGCTAAAGCAAGGATCCGTGCTCGCTAAGAAGGGCAATAAGGAAAAGGTTCGGAATTCACTGCTACAGTTCTTAAAGGATCCGCGAAACACAAGCGTCTTTAAGAATATCAAGAATCCGTTGAATCCAAGCTTTCGATGTAACGGCGTCGCACCAGACAAATGCAAAGTAATGGACTCCAAAATGCGCCCACTTTGGGTGGTGTTTGAGAATGCAGATTCAACGTCGAACGATGTATACATCATTTTCAAAAATGGTGACGACCTGCGACAGGATATGCTTACGCTGCAAATGCTGCGCGTCATGGATCAGTTATGGAAACGCGAAAAGTTCGTATTTAACAGTAAAAGGCATTTATTACATATCAATCACACATTTTTTATTTTTCTCTGCTCCGCTTGCAGCATGGACTTCCGCATGAACATCTACAATTGCATAAGCATGGAACAACGTCTGGGCATGATTGAAGTGGTGCGCCATGCCGAGACTATAGCTAATATTCAAAAGGAGAAGGGCATGTTCTCGGCCACGTCGCCATTTAAAAAGGGCTCACTCCTCAATTGGCTGAAAGAACACAACAAGCCCGATGAGAAACTGAACAAGGCCATTGAAGAGTTTACTCTCAGCTGTGCTGGCTACTGTGTAGCCACCTATGTCCTCGGCGTCGCCGACCGCCATTCGGACAACATAATGGTGAAGCGCAATGGCCAAGTGAGCATTTGACATATTCATATTCCACGGAACATTTTCCACTAATACATAATTATTTTGCCAGCTTTTTCACATAGACTTTGGGCACATACTCGGCCACTTCAAGGAAAAGTTTGGGGTGCGACGAGAACGTGTGCCCTTTGTGCTCACACACGACTTTGTCTATGTTATTAACAATGGCAACCTTGAGCGCGACTCAAAAAATTTCACCCATTTTCAAAAATTGTGCGAAGAGGTGCGTAAAACATAATACAATTTTCCTTTGTTTGTTCGAAATCTGAAATCACGCTTTTATTTGAACAGGCCTTTTTAGTTTTACGCAAACACGGCTGCCTTATTTTATCACTCTTCTCAATGATGATTTCAACGGGCCTACCGGAATTGTCCTCAGAGAAGGATTTGGATTATCTGCGCGAGACTTTGGTAAGTGATTGAGGCGTTGAAAAGCCTACTTCTGCTGTTTAACCGCTGGACTTTATTCTTCAGGTGCTGGATTACACGGAAGAGAAAGCGCGAGAACATTTCACAGCGAAATTCAGCGAAGCCTTGGCCAACTCCTGGAAAACTTCACTCAACTGGGCCTCACACAATTTCTCAAAAAACAACAAACAGTAAAACGATACCCACAACGAAATAATAGCTGCAAATTTTAATTAGTTTCGGCACTCCGCAATTAGTCTTTTATGATACTTATCTGCTTCTACAAAAAACGTAGTACAACTTTACATAAACCGAGTTCAAAACAATGTGTTCACTATGTTAGGCCAAAATACACACACACAGCCCCATATAAAATACATGCAATACCATTACTTTTGACTGCAGCTATATTATTTGTAGTCAAGTAAATGCATATACGTACATGTATATACATATTTTATATACAAGTTTTTGGTTGCTATATTTTGATAAAATTACGCTTAAACTGTTGCGTTCATCGAATTGCAAATTGAATTGAATTGTTTCAAAATGCGCGAATTTCACATAACACATTCAACCTATTAAAGCACAACCACACTATATAAAGATGTAAAAAACGAAGAGTTTATTTCTATACTAAAGTTCAAAAATATATATTATTGTAATTAAAATTGCGAGGTTAAGTTAAGAAAATTGTATCCTATTATCATATATTAATTGTATAATTATTAATAAGCTCTAGCATCCTTCTGTATTTGTAAGTTAACGTTTTTTATTATGCTTATTGTCGAATGTGGCAAAGAAAATATTGTTTTGGTGTTTTGTGATGTTATGTTATTATTATAACGTATTTTGTATATGGCTGGAAAGAGAAAAACAATTCAAATATGCGATGTATACGCGTATATTAACCTACACTTTATATTATTGTCGTACTATTTAAGTCGGATAATTAACCTATAAACATATATACACACCTATACATTTATATAACTGTAACCGAATCAAGAAATAAAAATAATGTGCTTCTACGATAGACTGTATTCAAAAATAATAAACAATTTTGCCTTATTTCTTTTTAATTAAATTAATTAAATTACTTTTTTGTGAGGTGGTACAGGGTATTTAAGAGTTGAGCCTGCTCGACTTTAGCATTCCTTTCTTGTTTTATTCCGTTCATTTATTATAATGTTATTTTGGACTAACAAAAGCCATCGTTAAATGCGAAAAAAAGTGTACACTGACGAAAATTGATTTGATGGTGTTTAATAAAATACCTGAAATCCACAAATAAGGTACTGCAACATTCCAATACCTTTTCGATGTAGTCTCATGAAGCACAAAATTTTCCCCTACAAATCTTTAAACATTCTTCAACGTGTACTTTGACAGCTTAGGACAGCCTTTACTCATCGAGGGCAATGGTAATTATAAATTAATGATTCTTTTAATTTTTTATAAAATTTTATTTGACATCAATAGTTAAACATGTATACATATATAGTTTTATATATAAAATATATTAATTTGTTAAACACTAGTTCCTTTCATTTTACTTTACACTTATGTTACTATCAGAGAAGCAGCAGTTATAGGTATTTCTAATGTACTATTTGAAACCCCCATGCGGAATATTCAGTAGAGTTTTCGATCTCGTGCATGAAATCATTCGCTTCGGTAGACACAGAGACAGATTCACACGTAATAATTAAATTAAGACCGTTTAATGTTCATTAACCATTCGCTTCGTACTCAGTACAGAAGCAACATATATATATATATATATATATATATATATATATATATATATATATATATATATATATATATATATATATATATATATATATATATATATATATATATATATATACATATATATATATATATAAGAACCTAGTTATCTACCTAGTTTGCTTATCAGTATCATGGAATATTCATGGAAATTTGATTAATGTTCGTTTTGTTTATTTTATTAGCTAACAAATAGCCATTAATGCTCCTTCCTTGATCTCTCTTATGGAATCGTCAATTTCTTATTCACTGTGTATACATATATAAAATATACAGCGTATGATTAAAATTTTTTATAAAAATATGTTCACTAACGGTATTGGTACATTTATATATATTTAAATATTTATATATTTTACGTTCTTCCCGTCCTAATAGTTGTGTAAAAATACTGTATTTACAAAAAAATTAATTGTAATTACTATGTAAACAGTTTAATAGTCGTTTTTAGAATATAAAAAATAATTTAGAAAATATGAGAAACCGCTTTTTTGTTGTCTTTTTAACTTTAGGAATAGTTTTCACTTTAAATATAAAGTTTTCATTTGTATTTGTTTCAGTTGTACGAATTTGAGTTCTTGTTTTGGTTCACTGCATTATTATTTTGTAAATATTTTGTATCGCATTTTGTACATTTTTTGAAGTTGATTACAATTTTTGTTCTTGCATTTGTGGCCGACAATGCATCTGTATAAAATAAATAAGCCCCATAATACCACTACCAACATAGTAAGTGTAATACAATTTCAAATTGAAACCTCGTTAAATATGTATATATTTATTATCCTAAATAAAAAAGTGGTTTATTAATTAGGAAATAAATGAAAGATAAGTACAAAGCCCCGATTTAACGTCCATGCTAATTCAGTATCTTTCAAATTGGGGATTTGCAATCAATCGAAATAAAATTGCAGTTAGTTTTTTCATGCCATTTTCGCACTCACATTCCCAATCTATACCGTAAAGCCCGTAATGTTGCCTCTTTACTTTTGAAATAAAGAGTATTTAAAATTTCAGTATCTGAATTTGCAGGCAGTAGATAAAGATTTTTACAAAACACACCACAGACTTAGTACAGTTTAGAACATTTACGGACAGTCATGGATTCACAATTTAAACAGTACACGACATTTCTTAAGCACTTTATCCGTAAACTTATTATATGTTCTAGTTCTTGTGAATTCCACATGGGTATGAAAGTTATTTAAGCGACAATTTGAATTAGATTTTACAATTAAAAGATGCACCAACTTTTTCTTAAAGCTCCTAAATTTCTCAGTATTATAATACCATTTATAAATGTGGATAAATGCAACCGATTTTTGTGATCATTTAATAATTAGTCGTATCTTTGTAGAAACAACAAAACGGTTCACTCCTTCAAATGCATTTTGTACAGAATATTAAAAAGAGCAGGAAAATCAGTTGCAGGAATACATTCAATATCTATTTTTTAATAAATCCTATGATTTTTTTAATTTGGGGATCTACTTTATACAAATTATTGTCAGCACCTTTTTTTTATAATTTGTGTAATTTGGTTATCTATTATGTCATACTAAGCTTTAAAAATAACTGTAAACAGTTATAGGGTACATTCTGAAAATCATTTGCTACATCCTCTTTAATAATTTCCGGAACGTACCAACGCATTTGTTACATTTTTATTATAGTTTATGGTTCATATTTTTCTTGATGTATCTCTAGTTCTCTTTCCATTTTCAAAGGCACACGCATTTTAAAAAAATCTGATTTGTTGTTAATGATGCAGTGATCATCTAAAGTTTCAGTCTGTTTCAAGGAAATGTTTAGATGCAAAAAATAACCGTAATTTTTTTGTTTTTCATTTTCTTTTTTTTTTGAGATTCCTTAAGATGTTTCAGTTTACATCCCATAGAAAAAATTAATTTTAATCATAATTGTATGTGTACTTAATTTAAATTGTTTTGCATTTTGAATTTATTATTGATTAAGCAATATGTCAGATATTTCACTTGTGTAACTGATTGTATAAATAGTTTTGTGAGAGGGTTTTAGCATTCTGAGTTCCTTTTTTTTTCTTTTCTTTTGATTTTGTTTAAATTTTCCGGCCTTAAACTTATATAAACTAATCTATGTGGGAAAAACAATTAAATTACGTGCAATTAAATAGTAATTAACTTAACATTAAAAATATGCATATAGGTATTAAAATTTTTTCTTAAGAGCTACTAGTGCTGTTAGTGCTTAACTTGAAGGGACGCACGCTCACTTAGATCCACACTGGGGCGCTGGCAGCATGTGACTCAGTGTTTTGATAGATTCAGGGGTAAGTCTGTAAAAACGAGTAAGAACACAGATGATTAATTTATTAATAATATAATAAAAGAATAATTCTTTCAATTGATGGTACATTTTGTTATTTCACAGTTATCCTTTATCTTCTTAACTTTATGTGGGTGTAGGAATAAGCTGTATCGGTGCAAAGGTTGTGAAAATGAGAATTAAAGATTCAAACAAATTTACAAGCGAACAGACCTACACTTCGATAAAGTTTATAATATGCCATAGAGTCAACCAATCTTTGGATTGAAGAAGCTTTTCTTTTCGTCTAATTCAAATCAATCAAATGGAGTCCTCTTTATAGCACAATTTTAATAAAACAAACTCACCTGAACTTAGTTCATTTCTTAGATTACTATCATGAAACATTGCGGATTGTACTGAGGAGCTGCTTGCGGATGGCAGCGCATAGCTATGCGCGCTGGATGAGGCGGACGCGTTGGAATTGGAGGCTGGCGAACTGTTGCTGATGCGATGACTGGACGCTGTTGCAGACAAGTGGTCAGTAGAACTATCAGTCAGTTTTGGCGTATGATCTCTGCGCTCGAGCGCAACCAGATGTGTGTGAGGTGGAGACAGGCCGTGTGGTCCAGCATGTGTCATCGGTGGGGCCTGCGTGGGTGGTGGTGGTGCCCCTAAGGCGCCCGCAGTTGCTGCAGCAAACACATTAGCCGCACCATTGTAAGCGGCCAAAGTATGGAAAGATGTCGATGCTGGATGCGGATGTGGTGGTAGCAACAACGATGCACTGGCCGGATAATGATGCATCCATTGCGAATTGTGTCGGAGCGCCGCCAGCGTCGCTATATATGGGTGGTAGAGCGAGGGCGAAGCAGACGTAGAGCCCGTACCATTCAAATGAGGCGGATACATGTAGTACTGTAGAGCTGAGCTCGTGGTAGCGGTCGGAGAGCCACGCTGCATATGAAGTTGAGTGGTATGCCGTCGCTCGGGTGACGCTGTGTTCCGCTCCACAGGCGAGGGACAGCTGGTGTTAGCCGTGCCGCTGCTACTGCTGGCAGTGGGCGATGCGAATTCGCGGCGTATTGATGCAGTCTTTTTGGGTACAGTTCGTGGCGTGGTTGCAAGTTCGCGGGGCGAAGCAGTTGATGACCGAGGCGGAGATAAATCTTGCGAAGCCAGCGCATGTGCAATGTGCGGCGAGCCAGTGGCTTGTGATCGTGATGAAACACCCGCTGGCGCCTGTGTGGGTGAGCCCCCGTACTGCGAGCCCAAGCTGTAGGGCGCATAGAAGGGGTGTTGATGTGCATGATGATGCACCTTGTAGTTCTCCGGAGGCGTGCGTCTGCCTCCATAATCCATTGGTACGCTTGGACTCCGCTGCGTATGCGCCTCCTGCAGTGGGGAACCAGCGGCGGCAGCATACGGCGGCGATCTCTTTTTGCTTGATAAATGCGACGGTGACTTGCCACCACCGCTTCCATTATTACCGCCAACTTCCGGCGACTTAGGTGAGCTGAGCACAGCACGTGGATATTGAGCATAGAGAGCATGATGCATGGTCGTAATGGTGGCTGGTTGATCATTGCTCTTCTTCGACGAAGAGGAGCTGCCACCGAGCAGAGAGTGTATGCTGTAGGAGCTATTGAGTCGCGTCGGTGCCGACTGTGTTGGGGCGCACTTGTCCATCTGATTACTTGATGTGGAAGCAGCAAGGGGTATCAAAGTTTTGGCTACCGGTGGCGCCAGATTCATGGGCATGTTATTGCAACGCGACGGCGATGACTTGGCCACCGTACCAGGCGCACTGCTACCCCCTTTGGCCCGACTACGTTTACCACCTGCACCGCTGCCGTTGTTCATACCACCACAACTATCCTCTAGTGACACCTTCTCGAATTCACGTAATATGCGCTTGCGCGGCGACACATGCTGATGATGGTACTCGACTAGACGGCTGGCTGCCGATGATGACGATGATGATGTCGATGACGTTGACGGTGGCGAGACCTTGTGCGCCAAGGAGTGACTTAGACTACTACAGATGGCTCCGCCACCGTTATTACCGCTTGCTCCTGCTGCTGCCGACGCTGGTGTCTTGGACAAAAGCTCTGAACGTGCTGGCACGCTGTCGATTAATTTCTGTATTATGATGTTGAGCTTAGCTCTTGGTTTATGCTTTTTAAGTCTTTTTTCTTTTAGCTCCGCTGCTGCTGTTGCGGTCGTCGTCGACGTTGCTTCACTAATTGCCTCAAACTTTGTGCTTTCCTTGTCCTCCGTCTTCATGTCGCCATTGAATTGAGCTACACTGCCATTCATGTTGGACGTTCTTGCCCCTGCTGGATCATCAACTATTACAGACATGGCATCGTCATCTTCGCTCGTATTCATTTTTTCAACACACGCTTCCTGTTCGCTTTTAGCTTCTACATTCTTGTCCCGATGATCACCCTGTTCATGCTTTACACTTGCATCCAAAGGCAACTTCGAAGCCTTTTTACTTTCGTCGTCGTCCACTTCACTGACTGTCTGATCCGTTTCTTTCTCCTGTTTGATTCCTTCTTTAGTTTCAGTTTCCTCAGTGTACGCTGCACCCTCGGTAGCCTCGGCTTTTAATGTGTCATCGCCATTCTCCATTTTGATACCACGCTCCACATGCTCGAACATAGGTTTTTCCGTTGCTGCCACCGGCGTCAGTTCATAGGGCCGACGACGCTTTCGGAGCGCAGCCTTTATCGCACACTTAGACAGGACAAAGTGTTTCGGCCGCTTGTAATACAGTGACAATTCTTTGGAAATATCACGTCGAGGTCGTGATTGCTTCCACGGCTGATCTCGTTGCCAAGGCGATGACTGTATAGAGCTGTTGTCATCCGAAACTGCAAAACAGACAATGATTAATAAAGAATACTAAATATAGTCTAATAACGTGTAATTGTTAAATCAGTGAAAATATAATAAGAACTTTTAGAAAATTTATAGAAAAAAAGATTCCTTTTTCTCTTTCGATATAAGTATTACAAGAAAATTTAACCTTATGTCGCAAACATCACCATCATCAAACTATTTCGGTACTGTGGCCAAATGAACGTAACCATACTTTATAAATTATTGTCACTTACAGCTCAGCGATGTAGAATTCTCGTTCTTTGGATATGTTGCCGTCACAGCTGATGTGGGCGTTACTGTGGCTGAGGTGGCCGCCGAGGGCTTCCGGAAAGCTTTGCGCGGCACCGACACCCAGCCCCCTTTCTCGCCATCCTTCGAGCGTGCGAGTTCCAATATGAATTTACCATCTGCCAATACAATACAAATATAAATAGGATTTTCTCCAGCAGGCAGTGAAAAGCTTACTTTGAAAGAACTGCAAGCGGCCACCATAGCCGGCCATGCTGTTACTATTCGTTGATATCGGATGCCTGCCCATATCAAAGCTGGTGCTATTACTGCTGCCACCACTGCTGCTATACTTGTTGCTCTTTATTGCGGCCATTGATGGGCTGGGAGCCGCAGAGGCAACATTGTTTACAGCGCTATAATCAAGCACGCCGAGCACATCGGCTGGCGGCTTGGGCGCTGTAGCAACAAGTACAGAGCTTGCTGCCGCCGTTGCAGCTGCCGCTGCCGTGGCCGCCATTGTGTGGGCAGTTGCAGCCAATCCTGTGCTGCTGTTAGTGCTATTGTTTGTTGTCTTTGCTGACACATGCGGCAAAAAGCCATTGGATGTTGCTCCCCCAACTCCCACTCCGGTCGCTCCTGTCTTTGCTTCAGTGCGAGTTAGTTCTGTCGCTGGAAAACGCGACGGCGGCAGTGCGGGCTGTTGAAATGTTGCAGCAGCTGCTGTGAGGAAAGATGCTGCCGCTGCTGCATTTGTGCCATTTAAGCCATTTTTAAGTATAAATTTTGCAGCCGCCTCTGCAATTATGCGTTCGCTATTACTGCTATTATTGTTGTTATTAGTATTGTTATTGTTGGCGCCGATGCTGTTGCTGCTGCTGTTCGTTGCAATGTTGCTGCTTGTGCTGATTTTGCTTTGATTACCGTTGCCGCGCTCATCGGTCATTTTTGCAGCCGTGCCAGCAGTGCTGCAACATTTTTACAGCGTACTTTACCTATGTAGGGGGCTGCACTTGCAATTATTTTCTGTTTTCAATTCTTCGTTTCTTTTTTGTTTTATTTTAACACCAACACTTAGACACCACCATGGCTATACAACAACAATTTTGCCTGTTGTTGGTGCTGTTGTTATGAAGCTTGAACGGGGGAAAATGGATAGAATGAATTGCTATATTTGTTTTGCTTTTACGATTTACGAGATTTTTACTGCGATGCAGTTGTATTTATTATTTTTTGTTCCCATTTAGTTTTTTATATTTTGTGCTCCGTTTTTTTACTCAACACATTACACACGCACGTACACACATAAACAATTTCCACATTGGCTCGAGCACTCGCTGTTACTTTACTCGTTCGCTGCACACAAACACACACGCACTCACACACCTACGCCGACAGACAATCCTCTGGACTCTCCGAGCGAGTGTCACGCTCACACCCAAGAACGGTTGCGTGCTCCACAACTGCCATTTTGTTTAATTTGTAAAATTTGTTGTAATAGAATTACATACATACACCAGCTAATTTAGAAACAGGACAACTTTAAATTTTTCCGTAGGTTAGTGAACATATTTTGGGCTAGGACTATTTGAAAATATGCATCTGTGAAACATGCAACAGACACACGCACATCAATATGTGTATATACATACATATAGAAGCCGCTAATTGTAAAAACGCCGTTCTGATGAACCGGCAGTTCTGTAACGCTCGTTAGCTTTCAATTTTGTTCAACAATCTTTACATTTTAACAAATTTGTCATATTATCAGCCTATGCTCATGCAATGGACTTCGGACGTACATACATATGTACGTATGCATGTATATACATATGTACATATACTAAAGCATATGTTTTTAGATGCTGCGCCACGAATTGAAAACGCAGTGCACTAGCTCAAATTTGATTTCATTACACTTTTTCATTAACTTTGTCACTGCACACACAAGTACACATCTGTGATGCACAATTTTATCAGTATTTATTTATTCTTACACGCTTATTTTTTTGATCGCGCACAAACATTGTTTTTGTTGTAAGTGCTGTGCTCAGAGCGCACAGCCGTAAATTGCGGCACGATTTGACGCCGTTGCATACGTAAATATTGCCGGCTTGGTACAACACTGGGAGCGTCTGCATATTATTTTTGTGCTTGATAATTTGACATTTTATTTGATTGCACACAATTTTATAAATTCTTTCAATTTATTTGTTTACACTATCCATTTATAACACACCAGCCACATTGTCGTTGCAAGCGATTGCGTCGCAGAGCACGACAAAAAGCACAAAATTCAGTGGAATGAAGTAGAGGAGATAATATAAAAAAACGTTCTCCATTTACCAGTCACAAAGATTTTCACATTTTTAAACCAAATGCGCGCAAAAAATGGCCTATCACTTACACTAAAACATAGTTGCGAGTTTGTCAAAGTCTTTGCACGTTTTTTAAACTAATAAATGATTATGGAAATGGGCGAAAACTTAATATAAAAAATTATCAACGAAAAATGCAGAGCGGAGTGCAAAGCATACACGAAGAAACCAACCAGTAAGCAGAAGAAGAAGCACAGCGGCGTTCGTTTGTGTTCTGCTGACGTCGCGAGTAGCGATGAGGTCGTGTATGTTAGGAACGAACGTGACACGCGCCTGAAAGAACCACACCGCTGACACAATGCATTTGAAAACAAAAATATTTTAACGCAAACACTTAAATATATTTAAGTTCAAGCGCTTTTTTTAAAATCAAATATAAAGGATAAAATTTCTATAATAGTAAATAAGTATAATTAATTAATTTAAAAAATAAAAATAAATGCAATTTCACTTTTAATTGTCAGATGTGGGGTTCGAACCCACGCTCCCTCTCGGGAACCAGAGCTTAAATCTGGCGCCTTAGACCGCTCGGCCAACCTGACTATGCCAACACAGATGACAAAGTGCCATGTTAAATGTATTCATTAAAGGTGAAATTCGTATACTTGAAATAAATAAGAATTTCCACCTTTGTTATTGTTTTCCTATGTAGAATCCGTTAGCCAAACACATGCATAAGTAAACACTTATTTATAAATATGTTGTTGTACACTTTATAAATTGTATGCAAAATGTTACAAAAATAATAATGCTAATAATAATTTACAGCACGCAAGGGTCATCAGTCTAAGAAAACCGTCTTGGCACACGATTTTCAGCTAGCGTAACAAGCAAGGGTGTAGGCAGGGGAGTATAGGAGGGGGCCGTTGCCATATTTTTGCCATATAAAGTCGACCACACGTTCATTATTATGACGCACTATTTCGCCTTAAAATGGATCTAAGTTGGATTTGTAGAAGTTTTTTCATTGATCATATGCAAAAGTTCTTTGTTAAATTCATCGTGCATTATTTAATTAAAATTTCAGGGACTGTAATCATTATGTGTTATTAAAAAAATTACAAAATAATGATTATTTTTTAATTTTATTATTTCGCTCACAGTTTAATGATTAATTTTGAGTTTTACTTTAAAAATTAACCAATAATCATTAATCAAATTTAACATTTTTAATTAATTAATTTTTTTTTAATTCACAAAAAAAATTTATTTTTTTTAAATTTTATTTTATTTTATCTTTAACTATTAATTATTTAATTTTACAAAAAATATTTTTTGTAATGAGTCCGGCGTAAGGTTGCACCTTAGACCCGATAACACCAATTTAAGGGCAGAAAATGCCCATTCGACACTCACTTGCATTGAATATAATTCTGCCTGTTACATACATTCGCATTTGTGATTTAAAAAATAATTAATTAATAAATTAATTATTTAGTTAATTAAAAATTAATAATTTAAAAATGTTCCCCTTGACTCACTGATTAAGGATATATATAAATTTTGTCCTTAATCCCTATGAAACAGATAAAATTTCAGCTTGAGTTTTATTTTTGATCAAAAAAATAAAACTCAAAGAATAATCATTATCTTATAAGTTTTATTTTTTTGCTCATCAATAATGATTATTGGTTAATTTTTAAAGTAAAACTCAAAATTAATCATTAAATTAAAATTTATAAATCATGGTGAAAATACATAGATAATCCTTAAAAAGGATGTCAGTAAATTCCTCGCTTTATAAAAGTTACTATAAGTGAATGATTTTTTCGTTTAAAAAAAAACAAAATAATCATTATTTGCGGTCCCTACAAAATTTTAATTTTTTGGGCCCGCCCTTTGGTAAAAGCTTCCTACGCCCTTGGTAACAAGTAACCGCCCTGTTCTCCAATGAGTGCTGACCAACAGCTAAAAGGACACCTACAAAGAACAACAATCGAGGCGCAATAGCAAAGCAAACACGCACTACAGTAATACTATGCAATCGTGAACTGCCATTTTGCATGCGTGAGCTACGACCGAACCTGTCGCAGGGGAGGTCGCAGGGTTGAGTAGCTATAGCAACTTTTGGCAAACAATAAGGGATATGGCTGGCGCTCTCCCCAGTTTAAGGAACTTGTTTACTTACCTACCTGCAATTGCACACCCTGACATAACCGTCGACAACGACGCCGAGCGCGACACCGATTTCTTGGTTTCAGTTCCCATTTGAATTTCAGTGCATTAAGTGCGTTCCTTGTACCTGAAGAAAAGGGTTCATTATGTGCTTCCTGCTGGTCAATTGGCTCTTCCTACTACTCTGTACTGCGGCATTCTTTAGGCTAGGATATTGCACTACTTTCGACGTAGCTCAACGGCCTACATCTCCCAAAACGTTCAACGCCAATGGCTTCAATGCGTTCCGTTTTCAAAGCCCCAAGCAGTGCAGTTACAACGAATTTTACGACTTAAACCATTATCGCTGTGCACCGTGCAACGATGTTGCAAATATTGGAAAACTGCAGCCAAGCGCGGACTGTAAGTAGTCTATTGATTAAACAAATGTTTGGAAAACACATGCAGCGACGTAACAATCTGCAAGTGTTTAAGGTCTGTGACCAACGGTTAATAGGTCGGTCGTACGACCACTTAGGAAGGGGAGATGGGAATTAATACAAAACGAGGTCAAGAAATGTAAAGGTAATTTGTGAACAATTTGAAATGGCGCTGAGAGCAGTGGTTTATTACCTGGGTGCTATTTCAGCCAATTAATTAAGAGAGAGAAGCAAAATTTCTTTACTGGTCTATTTGATACTGTATCCATGTTGCATTAGACATGAAAAATATCCCATAAGTGCAATGTGTAGTTTTCAGTTTTGACCGAATCTCTATATATATAAAACAGTTTGTCCTGACTGACTGACTGACTGACTGACTGACTGATTGGCAATCAACGCACAGCCCAAACGGTAAGAGCTAGGAAGCTGAAATTAGGACACAAGGTCCCTCTTATAGTGAAAGTGAGCACTAAGAAGGGGTTTCGGAAAATTCGAGCTCCAAAGGAGGGAAAACGAGCTCCAAGTTTGTATGAAAAATCTACAATTTTCATCCAATTAACTTCAGACTTAGTTTGTATACTCTCAAAAAGAATACAAGAAAAACTGTATACTTGGTTTTTCACCATTTTTACTGGGGCATGAAAAAGGGGGGGTTTTCCGTGGAAAAATTGAAACACAATCAACACCCCACAGCCCAAACGGTAAAAGTAAGGAAACTGAAATTTAGGCTCAAGTATCCTGTCATAATGTAGGTGCTCACTAAGAAGGGATTTTGGAAAATTCGAGCTCCAAAGGGGGGAAAAGTAGCTCCAAAGTTTGTTTGAAAAATCCGCATTTTTCAACCGATCGACTTAAAACTTAGTTTCTAAAATCAATTAAAGAATACAAACAAAACTGCATACTTAGATTTTCGTTGGAGCTTGAATTATTGGGGTTTTAATATTTATTCACTATTTCAAATGAAAAGTTTGTGTTATAAATTTAGTCCGATCGATTTAAAATTTGGATAATGTAATCTACGTACCTAAATCTACAACTTTGCATTCAAGGATTTTCAAAATATGCATTTTACAAAAGCAGGCAGAACAAACAATACAAAATATCAAACAGTTGGGGACAACTAAGTATACATACACACACACACACTCAGGGGAGAATACCTTCTTGAAGCGTTTGCAACCCTGGATGTAGCACTGCTCAACTGCGGTGAAAAGGACACTTTCTCCAGAGGGGGGAGAAGCTCAAAGATCGACATAACTTTCATCAGTTCTGCCCTACTACCCTCAACGAAATGGCACGTATCGGATGAATACACGCACAGTGACCACCAGGCAATAATATTTGAGATCCACAGACGACCTACGAGACGGAACCCAACAAATGGCACCCGACCCAATCCAGGATGGAGAGACACCACCTTCGACAAAGAGGCATTCAAACTGTCTATGGGTGAGTATCACCTAATGGGTAGTGCGAGCAACAAAGCGTCCATCCTGATGCGTTGCATTGCTGATGCCTGTAACGCGTCTATGGCCAAGAAAGGCCAACAGGCTAGAAGACAACCCGTTTACTGGTGGAACAGACAGATTGCCGACCTCAGCAAGAAATGCATACGCGCACGTCGAATATGCCAGAGAGCTAGAGGTCGCGAAAACTTTGTCGAACTCCAAGAAGAGTATAAGGCTGCGAGAGCCACCTTAAAAAAAGCTATCACCCAAAGCAAAAGGAACTGCTACAGAGAGATGTGCGACGACGTTGAGAATAACCCATGGGGCACAGGGTACAAGCTGGTAATGAAAAAGATAAGCAGCTTCCGTTCACCAGTCACAACATGCGCTACGAAGCTCAAGGCAATTGTGGAGGGCCTCTTCCCCCAGAGGGCAGAAATCACATACTCAGTGGCAAGCTGTTAGGCCACAGAAAACATCCCAGGTGTCACTCTTGAAGAATTAGAGGTGGTGAGCAGAGGACTAAAACTAAAGAAAGCACCTGGGGTGGATGGAGTCCCAAACATTGCCCTCAGGACGGCCATCGAACACGAAGCTGAACTATTCAGAGAGACCTTCGACGCATGCATTAAGGAGAGGAAATTCCCCCGGATCGGGAAGAAGCAAAGACTGGTGCTAATCCCAAAAGGAAATAGCGCCCAGGACGCTTCAGGCCACCGGCCGCTCTGCATGATTGACACTGCCGGCAAACTACTGGAAAAAATAATTAGCAGAAAACTGGACGAAGCAGTGGAAGGAGATGGCCTCTCAGACCGACAATATGGCTTCCGCAAAGCCCGCTCCACAGTAGATGCGATAGCAGCAGTTATACACACAGCGAAAGACGCCATTAAAGGAGTGCGGTGGCTCGAGGGAGAAAAAGAGTACTGCGCCATTATCACGCTGGACGTAAAAAATGCCTTTAACTCAGCAGACTGGGATGTCATTCTTGCAGCACTTGATGGGAAAAATGTACCAAAGTACCTAGTAGAGATCATTAGGGACTACCTTAACGACAGAGTGCTCCTGTACGACACAGACGAAGGCAGAAAGCATTATGCCGTGACAGCGGGTGTACCACAGGGATCAGTGTTAGGCCCAATACTATGGAACATAATGTATGATGGCATACTTAGGCTGGAACTGCCCAAGAGGGCAGAAATCACTGGGTTCGCGGACGATATAGCAATAGTAGTGACGGGAAAGCACCTTGACATACTGACAAGAATGTGTAACCAAACTGTAGCAATAGCTAGGAGCTGGATAGCAAGCATTGGACTCAAACTAGCTGACCACAAGACAAAGGTACTACTTGTAAGCAGCAGGAAAAAAGTAGAGTTTATAACAATAGAAGTAGGGAATGAACAGATCACCTCCAAAGCAGCAATCAAGTACCTGGGAGTCATGATGGACAGCAGACTCAACTACAAGGAGCACCTCAAATATGTTGGAGGACGGTGTGCTGGAGTAAGCAATGCCCTAGCACGAATAATGCCCAACCTTGGTGGACCGAGGCAAGTCAGAAGGTTACTATTGATGAATGTAGTCACATCAATAGCCCTATACGCAGCGCCCATCTGGTCTGAAGCAATGGCCAAAACTTCATATAAGAAGCACCTGCTCTCAGCCTACCGAAGGTGTGCCCTTAGGGTAGCCTCCTCGTTCCGTACTGTATCAACGGAAGCAGCAATAGTAATCGCAAGAATGCCACCGCTAGAGCTACTGGCAGAGGCAGAAAAGCAGAGGTGCCTTGGCAGAAGAACCGGCGTAACATACTCCCGGGGGCTAAGTGATGAGGCGATGGCAACATGGCAACACCGCTGGGACACATCCACCAAAAGAAGATGGACACACAAGCTGCTAGGAAACATAAAGGAGTGGATCAAAAGGAGACATGGGCAGGTCAACTACTATTTGGCCCAGCTGCTAACAGGATGTGCACATATGTATGGACATTCACACATTAGTGTCTCACATTTTGCTTTGGCTATTTCAATCGTTTGCACGCAACTACACGAACAGCTGTTTGTATGTGTGTGTGTGTATGTATACTTAGTTGTCCCCAACTGTTTGATATTTTGTATTGTTTGTTCTGCCTGCTTTTGTAAAATGCATATTTTGAAAATCCTTGAATGCAAAGTTGTAGATTTAGGTACGTAGATTACATTATCCAAATTTTAAATCGATCGGACTAAATTTATAACACAAACTTTTCATTTGAAATAGTGAATAAATATTAAAACCCCAATAATTCAAGCTCCAACGAAAATCTAAGTATGCAGTTTTGTTTGTATTCTTTAATTGATTTTAGAAACTAAGTTTTAAGTCGATCGGTTGAAAAATGCGGATTTTTCAAACAAACTTTGGAGCTACTTTTCCCCCCTTTGGAGCTCGAATTTTCCAAAATCCCTTCTTAGTGCGCATCTACACTATGATAGGATACTCGAGCCCAAATTTCAGCATACTAGCTTTTACCGTTTGGGCTGTGGGCTGTTGACGCGGTTTCCTTTTGTGCCCCAAGAAAACCCAATAATTCAAGCTCCAACAAAAAATTTAAAAAACCGAGTATGCAGTTTTCTTTGTATTCTTTAATTGATTTTAGAAACTAAGTTTTAAGTCGATCGGTTGAAAAATGCGGATTTGTCAAACAAATTTTGGAGCTACTTTTCCCCCCTTTGGAGCTCGAATTTTCCAAAATCCCTTCTTAGTGCGCATCTACACCCTGATAGGATACTTGAGCCCAAATTTTAGCTTTCTAGTTCTTACCGTTTGGGCTGTGGGCTGTTGACGCGGTTTCCTTTTGTGCCCCAAGAAAACCCCAATAATTCAAGCTCCAACAAAAAAGAGCTACTTTTCCCCCCTTTGGAGCTCGAATTTTCCAAAATCCCTTCTTAGTGGGGACCTAGACTATGAAAGGATACTTGAGTCCAAATTTCAGCTTCCTAGCCTTTACCGTTTGGGCTGTGCGTTGATCACCAATCAGTCAGTCAGTCAGGACAAACTGTTTTATATATATAGATGTATGTATGCCTGTGTATGAATATAGCATGTACATTCGTATTAATGTATACATTGGGCAATCGAACACAGTTGTTTGATTGTAAAAAAAATAATGCTCTAAAAACAACAACAACTGCAAGTCATTGGCTTGCTCTTCTTCTTTCGTTGTGACCATTTAATGTTAATTGCAAAGGCAAAACGCCAAAAGTTTACAGTTACCGTCGCTAGGCAACGACTGCGTAAGCGATAGTAAAGCAGAAACCGAATAACGGAGCTACGCATATTCTGCTTCGCATTGCGGGCAGATGTATGTATGTATGTATATGATTTGTCCTTATGATGATGATCTCAATAAATAGTTCGATTTTATTATTTAAATATTCTGCTTATTGCATTCAAACTTCGATATTTTGATGGTATCGGTGGCTTCAACTATCGAAAGTTTTACTCTAGCAAGTTGAGATGAGAATTGTCAGTGCTTTTTGATCGTGGCTCATCGCTGCACGGCATTGACACAAGTGCCGTGTTAAAACGTTGCGTTATCTCTATATATAAAACAGTTTGTCCTGACTAATTGGTGATCAACGCACAGCCTAAACGGTAAAAGATGAAATTTGGACTCAAGTATCCTTTCATAGTATCCATCATAGTGTAGGAGCACACTAGGAAAGGCTTTTGGAAAATTCTAGCTCCAAAGGGGGGAAAACGAGCTTTAAAAAATATTAGTTATAGTGGTCATGTTCGTTTAACGAAATAGTTTGGCAAGAACAAAAATGTAACGGACTACTGAAGAATTTTTTGTCAAGAACAGAAAATGTTCATTTAAATACCTTAAATGTCTTCCTACTGGTAACTTATAAGGTGAAAACATATGGGTAGGTTATGCACACACAAAATAAATACAATTGGAAACATTATATTGAGCCGGGTTAAGACGGGCAATACCTGCTATAGCATAGTTCTCTTGTTCATACTTCGTAATTGTATGTTTTCTATAGATCAAACAGCTATGCTAAAAATTCTACACAGGCTAATTAGTAGGTTCTCCATATTCTTATCTCCATACACAGAACAATAAATAAAATGTTAACAGGAATCAATGCATAGGTAAGCCAATTGAATGTGCAGATTGCTTTGAGAAAGGCCCTACCAATTCTGCAATTGATAAGGCTGATTGGTCTCGTCAGATTGATCAGTTTTTCCTTTTCCTTGACATAACAAGAAAAAAAGCTAAAGTCGGGTGTCCCGACTTTGAAATACTCTGTACATATGTTTACAATAATTATAGAAAATAAAAAAAATTTAGAAACTTGCAATTGCGTCTATGTGAGTGTATGAATGCCTATGCGCATCTATTCGTGTCTGTGTAAACATGTTTGCAGTCAACCAAACAGTAACATCAACAACAGCTGCGGGCATCGCTTGAGCAGCGCTGGAGCAGCAAATATATTTATGGCTATAACTTCTTGTTAAACCGGTCTATCATAGAAACTTGGCATACGGACACATAATAATTAACTGGGGGTATTTGCAAAATTTGAGTTAGAAATTCCAAGAATTACGGGAGTTACGATTTTTGGGGGAGAGGGGGAGGGAGGGAAATTCCAAAATTTCAAAATTTGGTGTTCCTAGGTCTTATAGTCTCCGAGATATAGGCGATTATACGAATGGAAAATCGGGAAACCCCCATAGGGGGGAAGTTAGGGGAAATCATAAAAATAAAACAAACTCGTATAGCGTACACACATAAGGCATCTTTGTGCAAAGTTTTGTGTCTCTATCTCTTATAGTCTCTGAGATCCAGGTGTTCATACGGACGGACAGACAGGGCTAGATCGACTCGTCTTGTCACGCTGATCACGCCTCCTTCTGCTGTTACATTTTTCAACTTCCGCAAACCTAATATACTCTTGTACATTTCATGTACAGAGTATAAAAATAACCTAGTTGTTCGATCTAGCCAGGAAATAAAGTTATGAACATACATACGAGTACATACAATATTACATTCTTTAACAGATTTCTCCTGCAAATGTCCATATGGCAGCATCATTATCTTCGAGCCCAGCAAAACTTGGCCAACTTGTCTGCAATTATGTTCAAAAAAATCAAATCAAAGTTTCGAGGAGCCCACAGATGCTTCTACAAGTGATGATTGTCTCGTTATGGACGATAAACCACAAGTCATGGAGGACTGCAGTTTGCGATACCTAAACGCTACGTCGGCAGTGAACCTCCACCTTCCTTTGCCAATTGGTGGGATTTTACTTACCCAGACAGAAGTGGCGTCTAATGGTAGCGATTGCCACAGCTGCGATCCGATATATAACTTCCGTTACCAGGACTACTGCATAGCCAATACCCTGCTGCGTCCCTATTTGCATTACAATGCCTTCTGGCAGACCATCACCAGCAACAGCGGAAAGACACTAAGCAGCACCTACGGCCACTTTGGTGAACTGAAGTTTGTCGCCTTCTTCTGTCTGGCTTTGCGGAATTCTAGTGCCTGCAACCAGTTGGCCAATCTCTGTGTACTTTCCCATTACTCCCTGGACAAGCATTCGCCATGCAGCGCATTTCTGCTGACACAAGTCTCGGATGTGGTCATGAAGTATGCCAATGCCGGAGAACCGTTGCGGAGCCTCCAACCATTTCTATTTTATAAGAAGGGAAAAGTGACGAGTAGGCTGCTGGGCACACCCTTGGAGGACCAATCGGCATATTTATTAGAAGGAGCACAGGTTCGTCATCTAACTATGACTTACGAGCTTTTCACTTAAAACGAGCTCTCTCTGATTTACAGAGTCAACTAAAAATGTTTAGCACCAACTATGCGCTAACTGGTCGTCTTAAACGTTGGGGTAGTATTAGTCTGCAGGATGTTAATCTTTGTCAGCTGCATGGGCCAAGAACGGACGCATTGGAACTTCGCTTCGCTCAACGTTCTCGCGATGTCAACTGCCAACTGACGCTGGGCCAGCTGATAGACCTCGCAATTTTGATGGCAAACGATAATTTTCTTAATCTGTACCTTAACTACACCAAGAATGACGATAAGCATTGGTACCTTCACCCACTGCCAGTGTTGATAGAAACACTGATCCCAGAAAATCAGCGGCAGCAACGCGAGGAGTGGCAGCTGGTTACGCGATTTCAGCTTATTGAGGCTCACCCTCGGATACGCCATCACACTTCCGGTGCCGTAGCTTCCCAGTATGATGATTCATATAAGTTGCAGCGTTATCGCAGCCTTCGCTTTGTGGAGTACCTTGAGCTGCATTACGATATCCATTCAAATAACCGTATTGGAGTTCCGCTGTTACGGTTACGATATCGTAGCGTCGAACTGACCAGTAATGCTTCGCTTCAGCAATTGTATTCTATTCGGTTGAGGCTCAGCTTTACACGTCTCCACGAGGGCGCAAATCGTCAACTTCTCCTGGAAGTGGCACTGCCATTGTTGCTGCTAGTCGCCTTGACAGTGGCCCTGCTTCGGCTCTACAATATCCGTCGAAGGAGGCGACATACGACGGCTGACGAACTGTGCGAGGTCTCCTGCCTGGTGGAATTTCTTCTCCACTTGGCCGGCAATGTAGCGCTGGCATTATTAACCACCACACTCCTGATCCTCTGCTTCAATACGCTGGAATATCTGACTCAGCGTAGTTTGGAGATCACACTGCCACTGCTGAAGCATAGTCATGCCTTGGGTACACTTATATACCCCGCCTGCCTGCTGCAATTTGTCTTCTTGTTGGTCCAACTACGGCGCGCCAGCCAACTGGAGCTGTTCTTTATAGACTGGGAACGTCCGCGCATCTCCGAACAAAACCATTTTAACTTAAAGAGCAATCTGGACACCTCATCGGTTTGCTCAAGTGTGCGCACCTATGTGGCAGAGAACAATGTGTCTGCCTGGCGTCTGCTCTTCACGGCCAACGAATGGGTCCGTTTGAGTATGGCCCAAAAATATTCCAGTGCGGTTCAGGCTTTTATCGTCCTGTGCGTCTATCAACTACTGGACCGACCGCAGGTGACCCACGAGGATAACACGATACGTGGCTGCCTCTTAGCACTGCTCTATGTGGGATCCTATTTCCTACAGTTACTCATACGCCAACTGCTCGTGGAGCGCATCTTTGGCGAACCTTTGCAACAATTTATTGACACCTGCAGTCTCGCAAACATCAGTGTATTCAGTTTAATGGATCCCGGCTTCGGTTATTACATACATGGACGCTCGCCGCATGGTTTCGCCGATACGGACATGTCCTCGATGATCATGCAGCTGCAGAGGGAGGCGCAGAGCATGTGTGGTCGACGTGGTCTGCTTATGGATAGCGACAAGCAGGCATACATCGTTTTGCCGCCCCGCAATTTACGGCAAGTCGTTCATTTCGATACTTTGTAGCTTTTTCAACTCATTTAAAAAGTCATTAAGAACCGTACATATAATGATTAAGGACAAAACAATTTAGTTAAGTATATCTTCTGAGTATACCGAGCGAAGGCTGTAATTCAACTTTGAACTTAATATGTATGTATGTAGTTTGTGTATTTTTAATCAATTCTAATTGCACTTCTGCTACGTTGCTATCGCTCCGCTTCCTTTTGAATAGTTCTCAAGGGCGTACGCAGTACAACTTTTCTTAGAATTGACCGGTTTCAATGCAATTTGAAACAATTGTAGATATTTTTATATACTTGTACATATTACGTGCGCAAAGATTGGTCTATGTTGCTTTTGAAATGTGGACAGTCTGTATGGACAGTGGACAGAAATTCTGAAACGTAGGGAGAGAAAATCAAAAAAATAAAATAAACTCGTGAAGCCCTAGGCTCATCCAAACGGACAGACAGACGGACGGACATGTCTAGATCGATTTCTCTCGCCATGCTGATTAAGAATATTTACATTTTATGGGGTCGGACATGCTTCCTTATGCATGTTACATACTTTGCACAAACCTAATATACCCTTTTTACCCTACGGGTACAGGTTATAATAATAGCAAGTAGAGAAGCTAAAGTCGGGTGTCCCGACTTTGTAGAATAATTATGCGAGGGAAATTCCAAAATACAAATTTTCTGCGTAATCCCTAGGTCTTCTAGTCTCCGAGATATAGGCGATTATACGAATGAAAAATCGGCAAAACCTCGTAGGGTGGAAGTGGGGGGAGAAAAACAAAAAAAATAAAACAAACTTGCCCAGCGTACACACATAAGCCATCTTTGTAAAAAAATTTGGTGTCTCTAGCTCTTATAGTCTCTGAGATCAAGGTGTTCATAGGGACAGACGGACGGACAGGGCTAGATCCGTCGTCTTGTCACGCTGATCAAGAATATATATTCTTTGTCTGCCACGCCTCCTTCTGCCTGTTACATTTTTTCAGCTCGCGCAAACCTAATATACTCTTGTACATTTCATATACAGAGTACAACTATGAAAACTACTATAAAGGAATAAAGGAGGCATCATTTATTCATATTTAAGAACTGAGACGTTTGAGTTATACATATGTATTCAAAAATCAAAAGAAACCTCTTCCAAGTTATAACTATTTCGCATACCTATTAATTTTTGATTTTACTTTTAATTGTCTCTAAAGAATTTACTTAGAACGTTTGCTTGTACCTTTCCAACGCTCGGCAAGTCTGTCACAATCGCTCTATCAAAAGGATATACCCACTATAGATGGCACTGTGGAGCGTACCTCGATTGCCTATGCTAGCGTTAATCGTTTCTTTTGTGCATTTATTGACCACGTAAGTTATACAAGTATTCGCTTAACTATTCTATTCATTTTTCATAACTGTGTTTTGTTTTCGTAGGCCATTAAAGATATGGACTACATTATTAAGGAGAAAAGTTTTATCGAAAAATTTCTAAACTGTGAGATTGATAATTACTTAACAGAAAGTGAGTAAAATTGAATGGTCTTTCGTTATTTGGAATATGTATACATTTATCTATAACCAAAATGTGCATTCATACATAAAAAAGAAAATATATTGGTAATTCCTTCTCACGATGAAAAGTGAACCGTTGTTATAAAAAACCAAAAATAGACATAATTTCTACATTCCAATTTTCGATATTGTTGAACTGTTCTGGAGCTTTTCTTTTTAATTTTCAGACAAAGGCACGTTCTACATTGATGATTCACTAAGTTTTTCTCGCGTACTTTTGCTGGGCAATCACTTTCAGATTTTTGTTCTAGAATTTCTAATGCTTATTTCATCTTTTCTTTTGACTGACAACGTCTGGATTGGCATAGCTGTGAGCTGTGCGTTTAATATGGTTTGTCGATTTGTCTCCACTGGTCAATCACACTCTATGTTTTATTCACACTTTCCTCTTTCCAGCTTCTCCACAGCGCATTTCGATATTGGGTGCGTGAAAATGTCTCCCGCAAGACGCTCATCGATCAGCGCTTTTTAATGTAGCAGACATCCGAGGAACAGCATTTGCGCAGTGATGGATTCTTTGAACTTTAGTTGGTAATAACAAAATGAAGATTTGTTTTACTTGAAATCGAATTTTCGGACTTTGTTTTATTTCATAATTCATTTCACAGTGAGTAGTGCATAGTAGTTATGTTTATTTATCATAAAACTTACAGCTAAAAACAGATAAACTATTTCTATAATTTCTATCTTGTAGTTCACATTCAACATGGTATCTTTATCTTTTTTCTTCTCTGTATCTGCTTGTATTGATTTGTTGAATTATATTTCACTTAGTTTCATTACATATGTACGCAATTTTGTTTGCTTTAGGAGTAACTCCGCATGCATCTGTGGCATCGTTTGGGAGTATAGGATTTAGTTACTGTTACTTATATAGTTGGCTTTTTGCTAATACGTACTACTCAGACTATTGGCCCCGTTCCCGTTTTCAAAAATCACAAAAATGTGGTTGAATTCCCGCAATCCTACTGGAGCTTGAACCATTTTTGAGAAATATGCGAAAACTGGAAGGCACCCGTACGAACATTTTTAAGAGATATGGCTTCTTTTTTTGTGGCTTCATTTTTTCAACTACAGTCGAACATTGAATAATGAAGTACTCGAGTAACACGGATTAGAAATTTCCGTAAACATTTTATTTTCCTAAAATCTCATCAACACTAAATAAAAATTCGATAAAAATGACGATTTCTTATTTTTTAAATATTACTTTCAGATTCAAAAGCTTACTTCGTTGTAGCCGATTTGAATGGCCCGACTGCATTGCGCGAAGTCTCATATAACAGTTGATTAACCCAACAAAGCAAAAGAAATGTGCACAAACAAGAATGGTGTGCAGCAAAGAAAGTTCGAAAGTCCATAGCCGTAAATGAAAAACAATTTCAGTTAGTTAATTAAATAATTTCATAACACAGTCATTTTAATTTAAAAAGCCCATTCAATAGTGAAAAAATATGTAATCATCTCATCTGTTATGTTGATTGCTCACAAAATGTCGCTGCTTCTGCACATATCCGAGTTATACCATGCTTTTATAAATCCAATATAGTTCGTATGCATTGCTATATTAGTTAATGTTTTTGTTTTCGTTTACGAAAATACTTATTTTGCTTTATTTTTTTCGCTTTTGACTTGATATCATACAAAACTTTTTACATATTCGGCCAATCAATTTTATTGCCGTAGTTTAATAAAAAATATACATATTTTTGTTTGGATACTGTTCAGTTTCCATTATAATCCTATGTTATTACAGTTGCTACAACACATATGAAAGACAACATAGTTTACCAAAGATTAAAGCTTTGGCAAGAAACTGAGCTAATCTTTACTACGACACTTAATTACATACATATGTTCACAAATACACATCAATAATAAATACGCCACATATACAAACGAACGACAAACTTATAATCAATAAAATTGTGTTTAATTTCATAATACTTATAAATGTATTTATTTAGTATCATAGACTTAATACAAATGTCTTAAAGTATACGAATGTATGCTGTTGTGGCTGAGCGATAAACGGCTTTGTCTTAAAAGTGCAAAAAAATAGTATTAAATCCAAATTATATAAAGCGTATACGAATTGTTCTTCTTTTGTTTATGATGCTGCACGAAACTCTATGATTATGTACGATTAAAATTCGAAAGCAATTAATATTAATGTGAATGAAATGGGTATAATAGTAAGTGATTTGTTCATCTTATTGTTTTTCGCTATCACAAAAGTAAATACAACTCTAGAGATGGGGCACATGTTTAAATTTAATTAAATGTGAACGAAACTCAAGAGGTCCTAGCCAATGCCTTTTACAGATATGACAAATTTGTTTTTAGCTTAGCATAGATTTAATCTCTAATATGTCTATATTTATATTTGTATATGCAACCAACACTTAGATTGTAGTTAAAAGTATTTGCTACTATATATTACTTTAACATAATGTAAATGATTTTTTCCATAATAAATCATGTCAAATGACTTAATACACATATTAATCCTATTTACAGCTTTAAAATTAAGATTTAAGTGTACACAAGCAAGTTTGTTCATTTTTTTCTTAGATATATAGATGTATAAATATTTATATTGGTATCTCATCGATTTTACAATCTGCGGCTCACTATGGGAAGCTTTCAAGGTTCAATATACAACGAAGACCATCGGGTCTGTTCTGCAGATTGGAAATCGCAATTTACGGAACAGACTAGTATTTAATTTTAAATATGAATTTGTGTCGATAAGAGTGTCCTGCAGGACAACTTCTCTTTTGTGTACAGATTCAGATATGTTGCTTCTTTTTTTTACAAATCGCTTACAGTCCGAAAGCAGCGGCATATGCATGCAATAGCTGCAGCACATAATCCGCGCTCTCTTGAATAACATTACTCCCCAGACTACGTGGACGCTGTGGCAAATCTGGCATTTCATGCTCTTTTCCCTCATCTGTTTGTCCCTTTGAGTGCTGCTCCTCATCCGGCCCCTTCTCAATGGGCAGAAGTTCGTTCTATTCGGCCGTGCGGCGTGAACGCTTGGGAGGCAGGCAACCATCTTCACTGTCACCCAGTGATGCCGAGCCGCAGCTTTTGCGTCCATTCTCAATTGGCGACGGCGAACCGGCCGCTGCTGCCACTAAACCAGGAGATGTAGAAGAAGTGGAGGCGCTACTTCCATTGCTGGTGCAATTCTTATGCTTGCTGCCGAAATTTGGCAGCCACTTTAGCAGTAATTCCTCGAAGAAATTCTCCAAATATTTTGCATTGGTATATGTTTTAGAATCCTCCTGAAAGCAAACGCATTGCCTATTAAACTGAGAGCAAAGAGTGGTGACTAAATTGTGCTCACCTGGTAAAAAAGATAGGTATTCTTAAAAATCAGTCGCACGTCCGAGACGAACCCGGCAATATCTTTATAGTGATTAGGGCTGGACGGATCCAGGCGCGTGCGTATAACATCCAACGACATAGGGCTGCAATGTAGTTAAAGATTGAAATGAGTCCAAGGAACAAGTTATATAGACATTATAACTATACTTACTTGCATATAATCTCATAGTAGTTTGTATTAGCTGGCGACTCCGGCTCCCGGAAGTTAATGCTCTGCTCGTACTGGCAATAGAGCTCCAGACAAATGCGCTGCAGTATCATCAGCTCCAACCGACTTAGTTCGCCAGGCTGCTTCTGGGTATTATCCTCGTTTTTGGCCAACTCCTTGAGATTAACGCACAGCAGGCACTGCCAGCTCTCGCTCTCGTCGGGCAGCGAACTGATCGCAGGTATGTGACAGTTCTGATGGAACACCTTTGGGCATTTATCGCAGCACATAAGTTCGCCGCCATCTAAACAGACCGCACACCAATCCTCGTTTGGATCGTCTTTTTGTTCGTTTTTATTATTAACTGATATGATTAGTTTAGGTTTTGCATTTGTGTTTTATATGCATGGGTGTGTGTATGTGTACAGGTGTGTGTGTATTTTGTTTTTTGAAAAGTGTGTAATGCGATGTATTTGTTTTGTTCGTTTTGGTATTTGTTTTATTATATTTGGCGTAGGCGTTGTTGGGTGTGTACGTTAATTAGATTGTTGTTTATACAGGTTAGTTGTTTAATTTTATATCATTTCAATTATTATGCGTAGTTTTCAAAATACGAGTTGGTTTTTTGTTTGAAAATAGAAATAAACAAAGCAAAGTGACATAAGAATTTGTTTACAATTGTGGCAATAACTTAAACAAAATGCGTTAAATTGCTTCAAGATTATTTTGCCGATACAAAAGGGTTCGAAAATATGTTAAATTAATGTAGAAGCTTTTAAATTTTATATTGCAGTTGCGAAATCACAAATGTCGCCACGTCTACATTCAGCCAACACCCAATAAAAGCTTTGGTTCAATTTACAACTCCACACAATACAGCACCATTATCAAAGGATATCATTGTCATCTCACCTTCCTGTGTGTTGGACAGGTCCGTTGAGCTGTGCACCTGCGGTGACGTGGTTTTAGTGCGACCTTCGGGCAGCACCTGCACCCCATTCGAGTCCAGTTTGGCAATGGTGGCAATCAAATCGTTAATGGAATCGTCACGCACTTTGTCAATGGGTTCCGTAAAGTCCTTGGTATTCTGTTGGTACATATATTTGTAAGAGTGTGTTGTAAACAATACACGTGTACTGACAGACTTCAGCTAATTCTACTGTTTCACTTTTAGAATCACAATTTTGTGTTTTTATTTTTATGGGACATTCTGTTCATTCATTTTGTTAATATTATCACATATTCGAAAGTTAGTCAGGCCAGTCAAAACCGATCACAAATGTGTAATTAGCGATGCTATGGTCCTCTTAAAATCCAGCGGAAATGAAATTTGAATACTATTTCCGCAAAACACAATAAATGTGTAAAACACCAGCAAACCCGTTAGATACGAAAATATGAATTCTACAATTTGTTAATAATATTGACCCTATTCTTACTACAGACAATTTGTTATCGTCCATAGCCTATGGTCTTTAAAAATGTTTTGTTTTCTTAATTCACATTATAAGATCAACGCTATACATTACCTCATGAGTGCTAGGACTGGGCGTCTTCGGGTTAGTCGAAGTTACATTGGAGAGTATTGATACTGCTGGGCCAAGGCCCAGCGCATTAGCGTTTAAATGCGAGCCAGACGAGCCGCCGCCGCCGTTTCCACCACTGGTGCTGCCGCCGGTCATGACTGACATGCCTGGCAAGCCAGTACCCAAGCTGGGAGGAGTTGTATTCTTTAGAGTATTTGGAGATTTCAGTGAGATTTTAAAATTTTCAGACGTCTGACGTCCGTTTGCGAACGGCATGAGCGGTCCCTGTTGTGGACAAGCTGTTTGGAATGACATAAGAAATAGAAAAAAAACTTCAAATAGAAGAATAGTGTTCGGAACAGAAGCACGGACTTACCGTTTGACTGCTGCGCGGACTGCGGTATGTGCCACTTGGCGAGACTGTGCATTCCACCGCCTAACTGCGGCGACGTTTGCGGTGGCCCGGCATTAAAGCCAGGCTGGCTCCCATGAAACCCCAAGCTCTGCAATGAAGAATAGGCACCATGTTTGTATTTTATTAATCTGTGCCATTTGAGGAGCGGTGTTACCAGTTCTGCTTACATTCTGCATGGGATTTGGCATCATTTGGGGGCGCTGTAATGCACCCGGCGAAGGTATCTGTCCGCCACCACCGGCAGCGGCTCCGGCCATGGCCGCTACGGCAGCTTGCTGTTGTGCATGGTTAGCCAAGCGTTGGTATTGCGACTGGAAACGCGCACTGCTATTCATGAAGCTGTTGTTGTTTGGGCCGCCAGGGCTCTGCGGAAAACTCTGCTGGCCGGGCATGAAATGCGGCCGCATTTGCGGCCCCAATTGCTGATGGGCCGGTGAGGGTGCGCCTTGGGGACCGCCTGGATAGCTGGGTGGGCCATTGAATGACATGTGTGCTGCATTGGGACTTTGCGCCGCCTGATTATTCAACAAGCCGCGCAGACTCATATCTATAAAAAGAGGATTGACAGAGAAGCAGAAAGACATACGCCCATTGTTGCCATCAGTTCCATTGCTAACGCGTAAAACCCACTTACCCATGTTTTGCGGATGTGTGGAGGAGCTGACATGCGGCTGACCCTGACGTTGCATGCCTACGGGTGGCATTCCACCAAAACGAACTGCGGGTGGGCCAGCAAAACAGAAAATATATTTTAAAATACAAATAAGATTCTGGTATTCAGGGGCTGACAAAAATATGAAGCGCAATCGACTTTGTACTCTACACCCAGACTATATAGCCCCCCAACATGGTTTACCTATTATTCAAAACGACTTTGTTCTCTGAACTCAGAATCTATTAGCTCCTCTATATTGTCTACTCATAATTCAAATTATATTGCGCCAATTTTTTAAAAATCAAATAATAAAATAGTTGAAATTGTAAGAATTAAGAATAAAGCAGTTTTCCCAATGCAAATTTGTACCCCGAATGTAAAAAGAATATTGAATATATGTATATAGTATGTATAATACAAAAAGAAGGAAGCATTACCGATCCCAAAAAGTATATATAGTCTTGATGCACGATGAGACAAATCGACGGTCTGTCTATCAGTCTATCGCTAGGCAACACGAAACTATAAGTAATATGTAACAAATGTAATTGTTTAAAATTCTATTTGTAGATTCTATCTAGGATTTACAGCGGAGAGCTTAGTCTGAGCATAGAGTATAAAAATGGACTATGAATTATTCCATACCCTTACCTGACCCATCGCCTGGAAAGGAGCGACTCATGGACAGGTTGTTGAACTGTTGCTGCGCCGGGTTATTGTTATACATGGGGGGTCCATTCTGTGGCACGAAACCGCCCGGCGGTCCATTGGGCGAGAGACCTGCCGGCATTCCTGGCGGCATTCCTGGTCGTAACGGTGGCGCCATGTTAGGACTGGGTGGTTGTTGACGTGACGGTGGTCCATTGGGCGATGGCGAAGGTGTGGGGGGATACGGTTTTCCATCAACTATGACAATGCCGAGCGTCGAAATAACCTTCTGCAGCTCAGAAACCTGATTGAGCTGCACTTGGATGCGTACTGGTATTTCGGGATTAGGTATATCCGCTCTCTGACACTTGAGCTTCTGCAGATGACGAACCAGTGATTTTTTGCTGGACAGAATGGCGAAGTCACTGCCCTTCTCTAGCGCATTCTGCATAAATTCGATGCAGTGATCGGTGTTGTCGGATAGTAGCTGCAATGTCTCCTTTTTCTCCACCAGCACCTTCAGCTTACTGTCACATACCTCATTAAGACGCATTACCAATTGTTTACCACGTGTATTGACTGTGTTTGTTATCTTAACCACCATGGCTGTAATCTCCTTGATTAGGTCCCTTTTCTTATCGTGTATCAGCTGCTGACGATCATCGATAACCTTAGTGGCAGAGGATAGCAGGAAACGCTTGTAATTAATCTCGGATACTAAAGTAGACAGCGCCTGCCTCGATTCGGTAGCGATTTCGTGCGCAAATTTATATTTGTGATCACGATGATCACTCAGCTGGCAATCGCGGCACGTCAATTTATCGCAGGTTTCGCAAAAAAGGGACAACTTCTCCTGTGTATGCATCTGACACATATGTAGTTTGTCAACGCCAGCAGTACCTGGCAATTGCTCATTGTTTGCCTCATCTTTTGGCTTGATCGTATGATCCTTGGTGATCTTAAGTCGCTGATGTGCTTGTACGCAGCTATCGCAAATATATTCGGAGCAATCGACACACCATGAGGTGGCGACGGCACCATCCGAGCAACTGCTGCACTGTATGTTGGCCGAAGTCGAGGTTTTGAGAGCATCACTGGATCCGCTGTTATCAGCCCCACTCACGCTGTTGTCGCCCGCGGCGCATTGCTCGATCAGGAACTGGTTGTCAATTATATACTCATTCTGGGAGGCGTTATCGCACACCGGGCAATGTATTAAGGGCGGTAGCGATCGATCCAGCTCAGAGAACTTTGTATTGACGCATTGGGCACAAGCCACATGCAGGCACTCCAGCAATTTCGGTCGATCATTGATACTCAGCACCTGTGCACAGTAGACACACTTATAAAGCGTAAATTTAGCCGACGCCGATGAATTGGATTCGGACTGAAAATGGAAGATATTGAGACAATTAATTAACATGCTACTAGGGACGATCCACACATATACATATGCATATGTATGTTGTATGCAACTATAAATAGCCTGGACACAAGCCATGTTCTTATCGCTAAGTGCGATAATGGGACATAGTCGCTCCATTTTCGAAGCTTCACACTAATTGCAACTTTGTTATCTGCTGGAATACCAAAGGTTGCCTTTTTATTACACAAAGCAATCTGTTTAACATATCAAAGAATTTAGTATTGCCCTTTTAATAATATCTATACGTGTCCATAAATGATCTTATCGCCCAATGCTATAAATATGAGAAACTAGATAGTGTGGTTCCTTCTTAGTAATTCCATATAGCAAAACAAGCTTATCATCAATCCAATCTGTCTTCTAGCAACAAGGCGATCGGGATAACATTTCACAAAATATATGAGTGGCCTTTCAATATTATCTACATCCTATATATACAAAAGTATGTTTGTAGCTGCATATCTATACTACTAATGTAAGGCACTTTCTCTTGATCCACACATGAACCCGCGTATTCTTATCTATATGGAAAATACTAATCAATAAACATTTCCATTGACGTAATAAAAAGGGCATCGGGAATTTTTTATAAATTTATAAATGTTTTATGTGTATTATATATTTTATGGGGTTCTTATTTGAAGCTTTTGCAAATGAGTTGTAGCTAAGTTTTGTGACAGTTAATTAGAATTGTTGTAAATCTTCTTAGAAATACGCGAGCCTTCAATGTTTATGATTCCGAATCATTTAATATTGAATTCAACCGGTACGTATTATCACATCAAGCGGATCCCTCGAAAAGTTTATGTAGCAGGAACATGAAGTGGTTGATTAACATTCAATATGAAGACAATCAGATTCCAATGCATTATTGTATAGCCCATTTAAAAAGGATAATCCGTTTATTTACTATAGGAATATGGTTAAGGTTAGCCAGGACGCATAGTAGTATTCATGTTGTGATATATGTACCTAAGATTAAGAAGATCGCACTTATGAATCTTCGTCTTGTTACAGTTTGCATTATCTTCACATACATTGAGATTTCAGTTCCAACTCAAACAGCCTACAGCATATTTCTGCAACATCGGCTGTTCTGCAGCAAAGGAGAATTTATCGTTTGTACTTCATCGCTTCAGAAGACTAAATTATAATTATGTATTATAGAAATTTACGTATAAGAAATGGAAATGGAAATAATGAACATACAAATTCTTTCTATTGATTCACCATAGCTCCAAAAACAACAAGAAAGGAATGCTAAAGTCGAGCAGGCTCAACTCTTACTACAGGGTATGTAACACCCCACCCCACAAAAAAAATGTATTACAAAAATTTAATTAATCAATTAAATTAAATATAAAATATTACATATATGCAAACAAACATTTACATCAGAATCGTGTCTATGCGTGTTTGTGTACTTGTACATACGTACTATATGTGTGCATTACATAACTATGTCAAAGCAGCAACAAATACAGCTGCGGACAGAGCTTGGAGTTATGGCTATAACTTTCTTTCTAATAAGCCTATCTTAATAAAACTTGGGATACGGATATATAATCACTAACTGGATGTAACTACCAAATTTTAAAATTCCAAGAATAACGGGAGTTATAGAAAATCGCGAATAGCGGGGAAGTGGGGGTGCATCGGGAAAAATTAACAAACTTTCCCTTTCTCGGGCGTAGGAGAATCTCGACACCAAGTTTGGTTATTCTAGCTCTTATACTTTCTGAGATTAATTATTAAAAAAAAATTTTTTTAATTATTTAAAAAAATTTTTTTTAATTATTTAAAAAATTTTTTTTAATTTTTTCCAATTTGGTGGGAGGTACAGGGTATTTAAGAGTTGAGCTTGCTCGACTTTAGCATTCTTTTCTTGTTTTTCACTTGCCTCTTTGTTTCTTTTTTAGTTGCATAAAAAATAGATACTACAAATGTGTAAATGTATATGAAGTAATGATCTAGTGGTAGTTACATATATGTAATTGAATATAATTATTATCTATTATGATTCGAAAGATTAGATTAAATTTGAATATGTGGCACAACAAACAAAACTGACTTTATCTGCAATTGCGTATATATTATTTCTGTTTGTTGAAATTAAATTGCATTTCGGTGTGGTAAGGCCTTAATGCTCGTTAAAAACTTTGTTATAATTAATGGTAGAAACTTTTTCAGAAACAATGAGCATAAATTTTAATGGAAAAAAAGAGGATGAGCAAAAGTAGAATCGCAAACAAATTGCTCCACCATTGCGTAGGTTGGAGGAGCTGGCAATGCGAGTGGGGCTAGCTTCTCGAATGGCGGCTGTGGCAGCATCGGAATCGCTGTAAGTGCAGCCATCAATGCGAGTGCGCACTTTCTCTCTCCTTCACTCTCCGACTGTCGCAAGGGAAGATTGATTAGTTTTATCTTGAGTTGGAGCACATAAATCCAATTGATTGATTATGTTTGTGTGTTCGATAAAGATTGCTGCGAAGCTGTTCTGGAAACATTCACATTTTACATACGTACTTGTGTACATACATTCATATGGTATGTATGTATATGTATGTGTATAGTGTGTTGTTGAACGGAAACAACATGGACATTGATGAATGCGTCAGGCATTGCATTTCGTTTTAAGGAACAGCAAATTAAACTGCAAAAAAGAAACATGGTGGCATAACAAAAACTATGCGAGAGAATGACAGAAAAAGAAGACAACAATTTTGCCTGGCGTTGGAATTGAAACGTGGATCATAAACCGAACCATAATTCTGCATGATCCAAGCGATCTATCTTTTGGTAATGCCAACTTAAATAACGACAGCTTGGCGAGAGAAAGTTTTGGATGTGGTGTGATGTGTCTTCTACTTGTCTCCTCAGTCATCTCTGTCTTCCCCCCAAGTCTACTGTCCATGGCCAACGCATCTTGCGACTTTCGTAATGCTTCAACGCTCATAAATCATCTGGCAACAGCCATTTTTATATGGAAGCTTGCCATATACCAAAAACACACGGACGGCGACATAGAAAGAGACTAACCCGACAACCTAAACGAAGATGGCGGAACATTTGCGCTGCCAGCAGGCAATAGATGGAGGAGGTGGAGATGGAGACGAAGACGTAGGAGGCCGCTCGGCGTCCCACTTGAAAGCCATTCATCATAATATTCAGAGACCATAGCGCGTCACTGACGCTTACGTTCTCCACGATGCGATGACGACGACGTTCAAATACTCGATAGTTCGTTCGGGTGCTCGTCGTGTCTGAGTTCGTTGGCGTTCGGCCGGCTCGGGCGGTCGGTCGTTTGGTCGGCCAGCGCAGCCCACTTAAAGTTGTTCAAGACTTTCAAATAAATGGCGATAAAATGTGGCGAAAATCCAAAACCAGCTGCTACCCCCATGTTTTCAATCACGTTGAAATGACTTTGCAAGAGTAACCGGGTAGCAAACTCGTTCTTCTTCTTCTTTTTATCTGCCCGCACCAGCTACCGCACCCGCATACATACACACACACACACACACACATACTCACACACACCAAAATTCACGCACACTGAAGTGAAGTGTTGCAAACATGTGGCAAGAATTTCGAAAATTCTTTTCTGCAAGTAATTCAAATTAATAGATTTTTCTATCAGACAGCCAACAAAAAGCGTTACCCAAACTTCTGTGGTTCGGGGTTGTGGTGTTTTCAATGATTTCGACATTAGCGTGCCGGCCCAATCAAATCTAAGCCATATACCTACATACATAGTGTATGTACATATATACACCATTTGTGCGTCCGTTAGTTTTGTACGCATACCACTCGCCAAAATCGCCAGAAATGAAAAAAATATATATCTAAAATTACTCTAAATCATTTTCAATTAGAAAATGTTCAAAGGATGCCCCAGCAGTAGCAGCATCAGCAGCAACAACAACAGCAATAGTAACACAAAGAACGCAACCGCCTTCATTGCGAAGCTCTACAAATGATTGAATGGCTGCAGGATGGCATGACTTAATGGGTACATTTATGATTGATGTAATTTTGATGAATGCAATCATTTCTCGCCCTTTCCTCCTCAATACAATGCGAGGAAACCCTTTAAAGCCTTTTCACATTCAATTCAAAATTGATTTGTGTTATTATTTTTGCCTTTTCGAGGAAAGTTTTTTACGTACTTTCCGCTCTCGTTAGTCACACAGAAAACTTTTGCGAAATAAAAGAAGTTCCACAACTGTATTTCATTCTGTTCTGTCTGGTTTTTGAATGTGTATGTGATGTGGATGTTGGGTTGGCAGTTATGGTGGAGAGGTGTATGAAAGCGCAAAAATTGGTTATAAGCCCCACTGACAAGTTGCAGACGCACTTCACAGACGAAATCCATTTTCTCTCGCAAGGCCATAATTCCATTAAATTGTGTGCACCCATCAAAGTGAATTTTCAGTTGAGCCAGTATTGATTCGCGCGTGGACAGACTGAGAGGGGAAGATTTAGGAGTTTTAATTCAGCTGTCGGAGGTTAAAATATATTGGAACTGTGTTTCAGCTTGGGAATATATATACTGGAACCGTTACGTACTACGCTATCGCCATCATTTTATATGGGAAATTATCACTAATTAAGAACAAGTAATTTATAATATCCCCATCATTTCTATACACCCGCAGGGTAAAAAGGGTATATTAGGTTTGTGCAAAGTATGTAACAGGCAGAAGGTAGCATCTCGGACCCCATAAAGTTTGTCTGGGCACAGAGTATTCCACTGTCTGGTTTGGGCGACTGTAGCGTTCTCTCTTGTATGGTATTGGAAATTATCACTGATTAATGACAACTAACAATAATCCTCCGGAATTGGGTGTCAACGGCAAACGGTATTGGAGGCAAAATAGAAGTAAGAAACGATATTTTTAGTAGAACACATGCTAGCTTCATGTTATCTTAAGTAGTTGTATAGTAAAAATTTACAATGCCAC